CTTTGGCCATCATTATAAACAGGGCGGAATCCCCCAGTTGATGGTGCCCTATTATTGATGGGATATTACTGTATTATTGATGCGATATTACCCTATCTATGAACATGCCATTGAGCATTTACAACAACCTTGTTCATTGCAAGCTTCATATCAGCAACCTTACATATAGCATTTTTTTCTGTATCTGTAAGCTTACAGGACGGCTCGTAATTTGTGTGACCATAAGTGAACTTTTTTTCACTCAGCGAGGTAAATGTAATCAATATTCTTTGTTTTTAATCAATTTTTTTTTTTAACTGGAGCCTTTGCTAACTGAGGTTCTACCGTAAATGCGTTTATGGGGGTGTCCCGAGTAGCCCCGCCGTGCGGAAATGGCCGCCATTTCTTTTTGGAATGAGATAGGCAAATTCTGTCAATTACGTTTTCAGGCCGACACCTGGGTGCAACTTTTACGTAAGTAAAATTTTTTAATACGGCGAATATTTTTTTTGCTACATACCTTAGCAGTTGTAACTTTACAAAATATAGTTTTTCATCATTTTTTTCAGGAATTTTTCAGTGCAAGTAAATGTAGTATTTTTCAACTTCCTTTATGCTACATAGATAGGAAAAATTTTGACGTTTATGCCACTATTTTTAGTTTTGCTATACTCCAATTAGTTTCGCTACTACAACAGTTTTACGACGTGTCAGAGGCCTGTCCCGAGTAGCCCCGCTTGTCCCGAGTAGCCCGGTTGACGGTAGCCGAATAGTTTACAAAGTTTGGTTCAAATGATGAGGAAAGCCAAGTTTCTGTTAGGAAAACAATCTGAGGCTTAGTAGTGTATAGATGCAATTTTAAGTTACTCAGCTTGTTTTGGAGGCTGTGACAGTTCCACTGTAGGATTTTTATTTCTTTCTGGGTTGACATTTTGAGAATTGCATACCATCTACATTTTTAGTCATTATGGTTGATTTAGTCTTACTTTTTGATGAGTGTTGGTTGCTACCCCCCTCCAAGGCTGCTGAATCTATTACTGGACTTTTGCCATACAGAGTTGCAGCCCTCCGGCGTGGTGGTGCTCCTAGCACAGGTGATGGCTGAATCAAGGCCTCAGTCATTTCTTCGTCAGTTGCGCTGAGGGGAAGTTCCAACAGTGGTACCTCATCCAAGGTTAGGTAGACGCGTCCAGGATTCTGAGGAGGATCCTGTTCTGCCTGTCTGCCAGAGGGTTCTTCAAGATGGAGGGCATCTCTGGTAAGTTTGGTAACAACGTCAAGAAAATCAATATTAGCATTGGGTTTGCATAAAGATAGCAATTTGGAGAGTAGTTCAATTAAGTGGCACTGTGGCACACTGGGACATTCTGAAGGGTAGGTCTTTCCAGGACATTTTCAGTCTGTGTGCTCACTGTGCAGGTAGGGGCTCTATAACCAGTGTCCACAAACTTGGATTTACCAAGGTGGTTTGCAAATTGCAAGTTTGGTTGACAGCACAGGTGATCTTGGTCCAGAGGGTTTTGGGTTCAGGCTTGAATTTTGTGGAGAAGATTTAACAACTTTTAGAGCATCTCTGTAAGATAGCTTAGAGTAGGAGCAAACTTTTTCTACCTGCTTAGCCTGCTTCATCCGGGGGCAACCCCCGTAGCTTGCTGTATGTGGGCCATTGCAGTTGCAACAGCGCAGATTTCCAGTGATTGTGCAGTCTTTTACGCTATGAGCACCGGCACAAGCAACACAGCGTGGAGGACCTTTACAGCTAATGGCACTGTGCCCAAAGTCTTGGCACCTGTAGCATTGCCACGGTTTAGCCACATAGGGGCTAACCTTGAAGCGTTGATACCAAACATACAGGTATTCAGGCATAGTGGCAAACCAGAGATTTTTTAGAATCAGTTCATTTTTAATTTCCTCATTTACTCAAGATTTGAACCAATTTCTTATGTATGATAATGCTGGACTGCTGGTATCCATGATACTTTACTTGTCTACTTATAGGACTCAAAAATGAACTTGAGAAAGAGTCTAAAAAAACTCTCTGCTTTGCCACTATGTATTCAGGCAGGTTGCTAGAAGGGAAATTGATCTTGAACATGGAAGTTTTAGTTTGTTCTTTACGTTTCAGCCTTCCAGTAGGCATTGTAACAGTTTGTTTTTAAATTATTCAAATTTTGATTTGTTCAAAGACTAGACGAAGCAAAATCGAGGAACCAACGATCAAGAGCGCAGTCAATGGCCGTGGCTTATTTCTCGTCCAGTAAAACGTGGTAAAAAGCCTCCAAGGGATCGGATTAGAGGCCCAGGTCCCAGGATCAGGAGCCAGAGGAGGGCTTCCGGTTTTTGATCAGAGCTAAAACCAGGATGGTGCTCATGCACTACAGGCCTAGTATAGGGAAGTCAGTTAGTCAGGCAACTTGTTTGTGTTGAATAGATGATCGTTTTTTTATTATTTTTTTATTATTGCAGGTTGAATCTTTCTGCTGGAGTTGCCTCCTCCTAAAAATATCCGAACAGATTGATGGAGGACACCTACGGCTTGAGTAGTACTAGTAGTGATCGGCACCTCACACTCCACGGCTCCAGGCCCATGGTTGAACTAGTATATATAGTTCAACCATGTCCAGGCCAATCTGAGTGTATCGATGTATGGCTGCATGCCAGGAGAAAATGCTCCACGATGTCTTTCACGCTCCACCCCACAATGGGAGCACATGGAACACGGTGGACTGTGGATTACTATCGTAAGTTAAGAACTGTCAAGCAGAAATTTATCAACTACAAGTGCAATTATAACTCAAACTAAAAGAGCCACACTTTCGATGAAAACATCTGGAAGACCGGCTACTCCATCATCATTTTAAAAACTCTATGAATAGAAAATACAGGAATTGACCCTCAAGGCCAAATTTAGACGGAAGAGACTATAATACGAATGCTAAATGAACTAGCGAAGGAATTTTTAAATCAATGGTTAACGATATCAAGCGGAGAAGCGCATCGATTATGAACCGATAGATTTTCACTCGCATTTCCGGATTATCTGATATTTAGATGCCATTCATTTAAAATTATCATGGTTGAACTAGTATATAGTTCAACCATGTAAAATTATGAAGTAATCAATACGTCCCTAGTGTGTTTGAGAAGGAATAAAAAGTTTATCTGTGACTCTCAACTGTGAATGTTAATTATGGAATGACAAGAAAAATTAACTATTTATCAGAAGAACACCTTTACACATTTATAAAAGGTCAAGAGGAAGAGTATGAAAAACTCGGTGCCGGAAAGTCTGGCACACACGGGTGCGACTTCATGGTATACCAACCATGTACTTAGCTTCGGTAGAGACTCAAGCTGGAGTTGCGGCAGCGCGTCGAACGTAGCCCAGGAGATCGCGCATTGATGTAGCCCTTATTAGATATCACTTATATCAGATAGTTTTCTAATGATAAAAAAATCCAAAATTACGTCATGCCCGCTCAGAGAATGTCGATTAATGCAAAAATCTATTAACGCAGAAAGGCTGCGCACGGATTGAGCTATTATCCGGGACTTATTTTGTTGAGATGAGGCGAGTCACCGATTAAAGTATTGGCGCCCTAATACTAATAATTGAAGTATTGGCTATGGTTTCAATTGCTTCAAAACAACGTATTATTCGCTTGAAATAATTAAATAATTGTTTTCAGATATTGACGCATGTTTTTATAATTTATTCATGTAAACCGTCAAACAACTTTTGCCACGTTCAGTCGTCTCACTCAAATTGAACGCAATTCCCCGCGCATGTGTGAAACTGTGAATGAGATATTCTAATTAAAACGCAAAACGAATACTAAGAAAATTTGTGTTTCAGGAATTAACGCTCACTGCAGCGCTCTGGGCTGAAGCCAAGCGATGCTCATCCTGAAGCTGAGCAGCATGGAATCTTAAGCTAAGTAACGAAGCTGAACCTAAAGCCAAGCAATGCTCATTCTGAAGCTTAGCAGAATGCAATCTGAAGCTAAGCAACGTTGAACCTTAAGCCAAGCTTGCAATGCTTATTTTGAAGATAAGCAGCACGCAGTCCGAAGCTAAGCAACGAAGCTGAACTTTAAGACGAACTCCGAAGTTGAGCAGCACGCAATCTGGAGCGAAGCAACGAAGCTGAACTGAAGCCAAGCAATGCTCAATGCTCATTGTGAAGCTGAGCAGCACGCAACCTGATGCTAAGCAACGTTGGACCTTGAGCCAAGCAATGCTCATCCTGAAACCAAACAACGTTCAATCAGAAGAAAGCAGTGTGCAACCCGTGTAGATTTAACCTTCACTAAAGCAAAAGATAAGTAACGAATACCCTGACGCTTTGATTTGCTTATTCTATTCTGCCTCCATTTTTCAAATGCACCAGAGGTCGATAACCAGCAGACTTAATAGCGCATCAATCTCTTTTACGATCAAAGTTCACGCAGGAACTTCATTTCTGACCAAAGGCGATTCAACTAGTTGGCACTGTCTTCTAGGCTCCACGTACTTTTTTAGATAATTTGAATAATGCCACGGCATTCTTTGTATCCGTATATCCGTATGGTGTGAATTTGAAAATACGAATATAATAAGCTTTTCACCTTTTTTTCGTTGTTGTGCTCATGAATGCGTATCTTAATTTCAGATTTGATTGAGCTAGAAAAAAAAAATAAAAAAATTCATTGTGCAATGATAGGCGTAAATTTTATGAGATATTCTTCTTCATAAAATGAAAGCTATCGAAATTTACAGCGACTAAATTGAAACGAAAATAATTGCACGGAAAAAATGTGCTCCAAAACTCACGTGTCATCTGAAAAAGATATAAATTATAGTGATGTGGAATTGTATCGAAGTATAAAGTTCTTTTTACTGTCTTTAATCACTTGGGTTGATCTCAATGAACAAACTTCTGGTGCATTGTTTAGTTCCAGTATAAACTTTAATATTCAGTGGGGGCACTCATTTAAAGCTCCTTGGATCACGAGACGGATTCAGAACGGAATTAGAAACGACACGTGGAGGCTCCCGAGTGTGCTGGAGCAGCGAAGAACTGAGAAAGATCCTGCATTTGAGTATTATTTTCAAATAGTACCACAGTACTTGACCGTAAACTAAACATCTTTTGTTGATTATTGATATCAGCCGGGTTAACAAATATAAGAGATTGAGGATCGACACCACTCCATCAACAACATCTATCCTGCTTGCAAAGAAACTACCGGTGTCATTGATACTTGAATACAACAAGCAATATCAACAGCGATGAAACTGACAAAATTTTCAGCATGGGACTTCCTGTTGAAGCTACTCCTGCTAGAGTGCGCGACAGGAATTCTAGTTTCTCGCCGCTTCTCGAAGGTGATAAAAGTATTTTTAGTTATGTTATACTAAACTCTAAGGTTTGTATTGTAATTTGCCCTATCTTCTGAGGTCATAATGATGTCTTCCAATTATTTATTTACGCTTTTCAGGGAGGATTTTATTGTTTCATTTTACGTTGTTGTGTATCAATCTATACAAGAGATGTTACGTAATCATAACAAAGGTAAAAAAAATCGAAAAAATGGTTTGAGATCATTTTGTGTGGGTTGGAAAACACTTTTGCAGCTGATTTCAAAACTGACTTTGTTTATTTAGCACGTCTCTATAGTTTTGAGGTGAACTTATCCCAATTTAAGAAATCTGCCATACAGAACAAAGGCGCTTATAGTATCGATTTAATTATTCCCGTGATTAGGAATCTACATTTCCTCAATTTAATAAATCTGACAAACACAACAAATGCGTTTCGCATCGTTTTAATTATTTACATAAAATGGAATCTACATTTCCTCAATTTAAAAAATCTGCCATACAGAACAAATATATGCGTTTGGCATCATTTTAGTTATTCACATAATAATGAATCTACATTTTTTTAATTTAAGAAACCTTTCAAGCACAACTAATGCGTTCCGCATCGTTTTAATTATTGACATAATATGGAATCTACATTTCTTCAATTTAAGAAATCTGTCATTCAGATCAAATATACGTTTTGCATCGTTTTTACTATTTACAGAATAATGAATCTACATTCCTTAAAAAGCCCTCTGTTGAATCTCTTAATTTAACAAGTCTCTGCAAAACATCGTCTCGTGACAACCACCACAATTCAGGTAGCCGGAGCAGTTTGTTGAGAGTGTCTTCATTTCTTTTACATATTTTTGCTACTAATCGTCAATTCAGAGGACGGGATTTAACTTAATTGGCAGATGTTATGCACTTCATGCAATCCACCACTAAGTTATGGTAACACAAGGATTTTAATTCGATTTTCAAATTTTTACACCGATAAATATATTTGTATATAACGTTTAGAAAACCTATTTGATTCTTTTTATTGTCCATGAATACCTCTTTTTAACCCCTATCAATAAATAGACCCTCAGACACCTGTCGTTGACCCCTCAGATGGTCGATATAGCCACGTTGCAGATCCGTAGCCTAAAAGATTTCCACTGCCGGACCACTAACAAATTCAAACAATTATTATTAACGAAAATACACGACAAAAAGTTCTTATATAACGAACTAAATGAAACATTTATATGAAAACGTTAACCAATCAAATTCATATAATAAATTATTATAATTACTGCCTCCATTCACATTTATTAGTAATAAACTACCTACTATTCACCAGATACGCGGCAGTTTCGTAGAGCATCACTACTGTGACCTGGCCACGCCCCAAGTGCCCACCTCGACCAAATTCCTTGGCCTACGCGGTGCTTGCAGTCTCATGTGCCAGAACACTGCGGACTGTCGCTTCTTCTGCCTCCTTGAAAGTGAGTAACTCCTTTCGCCATTCATAGAAATGTTTTTCTCCTAATGCATCGTGTCGTAAATATTGATTTTTTTGTTTCAACAAGACACGAGCGATTGCTAAAATTACATTGACAGTTGACACCAAGACGTGGCAGTATCATTGAAAGTATAGATTTAGGTTGTTCGTCCTCATTTCATTTGTTTCGGCTACGCATCACAAGCGGTTTAAATGTTACATCACTGTTAAATAATATATGAAGGATTAGATAACATGTTTAAACAGCATAAAACAGTACCGTATCTAATATTAAAATTTCACAATTATTTGTTGCTTGATGCAAAGCATATTTATCTTTTAATATCTTCCATTGGGCTTCATTCCATCATCTTCTTATCTATTGGGCTTGAATAAAATTTTTTATTTGTTTTATATAATTGTCAGCTGCCGTATTATATGTTTAGCTTTTGCTGTATTTTGTATTGAGTTTTCTCATGATCGGGTTCTAGCAGTATAGGGGAAATACAAGGGACTATTAAACGGAAAAGATTAGAATGAAACCTGTTTCTATTAAACATACATATTGGGACGCTTCGGAAAATTGCAAATTATAAACAACGGCTACAGTGGCGGAAATGGCTATACGGTCATCCAGTTTTCTCTAAATATTTTTTTCTTACACAAAAAATATGGGATTATAATTATACGAGGCTAAACTACGTTTAAAAACGGTTCCATCGCTTTGCGAAAAAAAAATAATTTTTTCAACATATATTAGAAGTAAAGATGAAAATTAGAAAAACCTAAGTGGAAATGATTATAAGACCAGGGTAGGTTTTTCTCCATTTCAGTATCTCCCTGTAATATTTTCACGTTAAAAAGTACAGCAACATAAAGAATATCTTGATTTTTGCCATTTAGCGTACTTCTGGTGTAGTTCAGTGTCCTCATTTATATTTTAAAGTAAAAAAGATGCCAAAGAGGACAAGATCGACTCACAGAGGCCGAGGAGGCGCAAATTTTGGCCTTTGCGAAATGCGGTAGAAGCCAATGGGACATAGCAAAGAAACAAAACCTTCAAAAACCGTTGTACGATCGTTTTTTGCGAATTCGGACGGCTATACGGATGAAAAAAGCACGCTAGCCCAACCCCAAAATTAACCGACAGGGATCTAAGGCGACTATTTTCAGAGGCTTCTAAAGCTGGCGCTAACTCTACTTCTATAAGGGTGGCCCAGTGGTTAAAGTTCAGAGTACTAAGATTGACGCAGAGAGGCGCTGGTTCGATCCCAGCTCTGTGCGCCAGTTTCTGGTCAGAATCAGCAAGGAGGCCGGGCGGTTAAGCACAGCAGAATTATAGCAGTGAGTTGCGCGTTCGAGACCGTAACAAGCTGTGAATATATTGCGATGTTAAGAGTCGGCGACAGGCCTACGGCCTTATATAAACGCTGAAACCGCTATTATTATCATTATTATTATTATTATTATAAAATTGGCCCCTGGAGTTGAAGTGACTGCACGACGCATCCGTCAGATATTACATGACTCAAAGAAATTCAAGTATATGAAGCGGAAAAATGCCCCTATATATGCTCAGACAAAAGCATATTATCAACGACTGAAATTTGCTGAAGAAAATGTGCTTATCGGTGAGGGATTTATTTTCAGTAATGAAAAGAGTCCAATCATGATGGTCCAGATGGATGGTAATGTTTTTGGCTCCATCTGTACCGTGAGCCTGAATTCTTTTCCAAGCGGCAATCTGGTGTTAGATATTTAAAATAAAATATTTAGAGAAAACTGGGTGGTCGTACAGCCATTTCCGCCACTGCACTGCGAAACGTACGTGAATATTGAAATTTATTCTATTTAAAATTGATCTCTTAATCCGTTCAATTTTTATACTGTTCCCGAAAATTATTAATAGTTAATCTCCTTAGCACAGCAGAATTTCCTCTCATATAAAATTTTCCCGTTTCATCAGTCAAATTAAGCTGCGGTTTTCGTATGGTAAGGTGATTTGATGCAAAGGGGGGAAGGGGGGGTAGATGCATTTGGTCATTATTCTGGAAAACACTACTATAAACGCTTCACATATATGATAGGGTAATCTCGTTTTGTGACAACACTTACACGCCACTTCTTGAGAGCAACTGAAACTTCAATTTATCCGCCCTCATGTTATGATTGAACATTACCCCAGTGAACATTAGATTGGTGGCCCAGTGGTTAAAGTTCAGAGTACCAAGATTGGCGCAGAGAGGCGCGGGTTCGATCCATGCAGCTCTGTGCGCCAGTTTCTGGTCAGAATCGGCAAGGAGGCCGGGCGGTTAAGCATATCAGAATTGTAGCAGTGAGTTGCGAGTTCGAGACCGCAAAATGCTGCGAATGTTCAGTTATGTTAAGAATCGGCGACAGGCCTACGGCCTAATAACGCTGAAACCGCTATATATTATTATATATATTTATATATATTACTTAGCTTGTAACGTGCTTCACTTACCTTGTTAACAGGCAAGGGTACCTGCTCTCTATTCAGCGCTTACGTGGCTGTACGTTGGCAAGGTCATCCTCCGTCTCCATCAGGTACAGCATTCGACGCTTGTTACACCTCGTGGGGAGACCCACGTGACGTAGTGAAGACGACCTCTCCTTTCAATTACTCTTCTGTTTATCCTGGAGCCAGCACTAGTTTTGTGCATGCAATCGATGGCTACGCCTGTGAAGAACCAGGGAATCGTTTTGTCACGATTCCCGGCGCAAACTGCTCCTCACAAATTGACTTGGAACAGATCACTCGCGTTCAGACCGTGATCTTAGCCACCGCTAATGGAGATTACATTGAAGACATGGATGTGTTCCTCGGCAACACGACCGACTTCACCCTTGGGCAGAAAATTGGACGAGTTGACGGCCGCTTGCCTGCTTGGTCGACGTATACCATCAACACCAACACCAGCGTAGCAGGACGGTACATCACGTTCTTCATGGCACTACCTCGTTACCACGGCTACGCTGAAGTGCAAGTTATTCCGCTGCCTTGAACTTGTGCTTTCACTACATGGAAATATAAATGTGAGCAAGAAAGTAATAACTCAGCTCCATACCAGTTACTATTTTAACTGACGACAACTGATTTAGTCGATTGTCGAGCGGTAACCGGGCCGACATAAAAATAAATTCTGGTTTTCTTACTGAAATTCTAATACATCGTCCATTTCTTGGTATTTCAAAATTTATTCTCGTTGTCGGTGAAAATTAGTTCTGATAGAAAAATTTAATGACACAACCGACTATTTAAAATATTTTTCTCTCAAACATAGAAATTTAATCAAAATTATTCGTTATCCGTATGGAAATATTTGAAATGCAATCTGAAAATCGTTTGCTGAGCAATTATCTAGCGTTCGCTGCTTAAATTCTCCATATTTTTTAATTCAGCATCTTTAAGTCGCACCAATAGTTTCAATAATGAGCGTAATTTTTTTTGTTGATGCTGATCCCGTCAAATATGAGCAAACCAGAAGGGTTATTCGATAGTTGGGGGTTAAATAAACTGTGATGTTTATTTCCTCTTCGTTAAGTCAAATGTCAATTGAAATTAAATTAGGCTTAGTAGTCGGGAGGCTCCTGTGTGTAGTGTGCCACTTACTATTTGCGCTTTTTCAATGCGTTTGACTTTCTTGTACTAATGTTTTGCACTTCCACACCGTTTTATCCGCTCTCTCTCTCTCACTCACAATCAATTAAGCTCTTTACTTGAAATACATACTGAACATTGATTGGTCTTGAATGCACGATCTCATTAAGCTCTCATATAAATCGAGGAATAGTTCTTGGATAACTTCAATTAGCCATTTGTTCGACTATGATTAAGCTGGCTTTTAGAAGGATCCATATTTTTATGCAATTTTCAGCTGTAATTAATTATTTTATTACACTGCTGCTGTCTCCTTGCAAACATAATTTTTCATTAGTTCTACTCAACGTGTTATTCTAGTCGGCGTTCATTTCATTTTAGTAACATTGCATCCCTTGTTTGATATGTTAGGCTCTTTCTGGTTGGCTGTCGTTTCTCCAGTTAACTTCCAATGCTTGTCTAAAACTAGAGTTTATTCCTCCAAACACACATCCTAGATTTATTGTGCTATTTAAAATTTTTTCTTGTTTTAATGCAAGCTTTTTGCGAGCGACGGTGAAGTTTGAACCTCCCTCAGCCCAGCAGTGCTCTCTCTAGTAAGGTTCTAATTTGCCTCATTTTAAAATTAATTTTGTCCGTTGATTACTTCGCTTTGCTTTGTTCACTTTGTCCGACAAGAAAAAACATCGGCTCGTCTTATATTTGATATTCTTGGCATCGTTTTTAAATGACAGTAGGCGTATAGGAGAACGAGTTTGTCCCTCTCGTTCGTGCGCCGATCGAGGTACACTTTATAATCAAGCTCATTTCTTTCTTGTGTATACACTATCGTTTCTTATAAAGAGTTTTGTCACGCAAAGCACGCTACATGTTCCGCCAAGGTGTCATCGAACTGCTGTTTGGTTAACAGCCTTCATGTCACATCGATGTCCAAGGTGTCACATCGACAGCCTTCATGAATCGATCACATCGACAGCCTGTCTTCATGTCACATCTACAGCCTGTCGATGTGACATCGACAGCCTTTATGTCCAAGGTGTCACATCGACAGCCTTCATGAATCGTTGTGTGAACACATTTTTTCGTTCGACATGTTTGTATCTAACTCCTTGCAGGTCTGCGCAAAGCCATGCATGATAATTGATAACTATTTCAAGGTGCGTGATACTGATATATTCAGAAGGATATAACAAATTCAAAAGGCACACACTGGAAATTCATGGCCCTGTCAACCAGATAGTATTTTGAAATTACAATATAAATAAATTCATAGGCGTCATTGAAAATCAGGAGCGTGAAATTTTCAACATACTAATTAAATTTTATCTTGCGGTTGCAGTTTGTGAGTCCATCAAAATTTCCATCAAGAAATAATTCAACATCGTTGATGAGTATGCACTTGCAAGCGTTCACGACAAGCGTTCACCGAATCAAATATTTAATTTTACGATAAATCGGAGTCTCGGTGTCTTGCTACGATGATAAGATAAATCGATGTCCAGTAAAATTGTAAAAGATATTAATCAGACCATTGTTACGACGAAATTCTCAATATCAACAATAAAAAATCAATGTGAATTAAATTAGTACGTGTGATCAATATAACTATAACTTAACGCTAAAATTCCTCTAGGCGTCGTACACCTTGTTAATAAATAACTAGTCAACAAATATTGATTTTCATGTCCCCAGTGAGTGAAAGTTCAGCTGATGTTTAACTTGAACATGACTTTTGTTTCTGGTGCATGGTTGGCGTGAACTGGGTTGAGATGGCGAGCATGTCCAAACCTGCAACGTAAACGAAGAATACTGTTATCCAGTTATATATTAACATGATATCAAAGTTTTATTATGAACGTCAATTAAAATTTCATAGCTAACATTCACTCTAACTATACGATTTCAAGCTCACAATTTCGACGTAGATAAACGTCATACAAAAAACATCGTTTAAATGTTTTTTAACGTAACCATTAAGGCTTCAATTTTTATTCTGGAGTAGTACTCAACATGATTTCAACATCGCAAATGGAGGTTGTTTCGAAGTGGATTCAACCAGGCAATGCCTGCTGGGACCCTCCGTTCGAGCTTTCGGAATGATGTTGAAATATTGTTGACATTGCACTGCACAATATTTGGTTACATGGAAAACTGATCAACGTTGCAAGTTTATGATTTACAAGCATTTCTCATGCCGCCAAGTGATACTTAGTATTAGTGGTTAAAGGAAGTAATAGTTCTATAATTTATCTTATTTTTTTAATAATTAGCGAGTAAGTAAATAGATTATTTTAATTTAACAGTCCGCCACAGAGATCTGATGCATGGTGGAATCTGGAAATTGTTGCAAATCCTTGACATTTTAGCCAAATTAGAATACATCTTTAATAATTTGCATTTTGGTCAATTTTCAACGTTAAATAGATGTTGGAAAATTGATCAAAATTCAATGTTCCAAGATTGACGTAAATGCTTCACTGTTAGAATAAGGTTATTTTACATATCTTCTAGTGATGGTCACGTTTAGAAGTTGATTTAATGCTTCATTTTGGTTGATCAACATTTCAATCCGAAATCAACTCGTAGTCGACGTTGTTTCAACATCATGCATGTGCCTACTGTAAAGCAACGCTTAACAAGAAGCTAAACAACGATCAATACGAAGCTAATTCATTTCTTCTGTTCTGCCTCCTATGTTTAAAATAGTAGCAGAAGTCGATGGCGACCAAATTCCAACAGACTTAATGACATACTAAAGTTTCTAACGATCAAATTTCACGCAAGGACCTCTTGTTTTTCAAAAGAGTTTATTGGTTTCGAAGATTTAAATTATACCTTGGCACCTTATGCGTTTATGTGAACTATGTATATGAATTCAAAAATACTAATAAAATAGCCTAATTCACTTATATTATATCTTTGTGCTCGTGAATGCGTATCCTGACTTCAGGTTTCATCTACAATTTTGAAAATATTGAAATGCAACGACGAGAATAAAACCACATTCGATATTTTCTTTCTGAAACTAGAGCAATCAAGACATCGATTAAACTAAACGAAAATGAATTCATAGAAAAAATTTGTCCATTGACCTCGTATACCACCTGAACATGAATATATAGCTTATAATATCGGCTTGTACTGTATAGCGGAGTATAAAGTTCACTGCAATGTCTGGTATCACTCAGGCTGAGCTTAATTAGATCAACGTTAACATTCAACTGAGAAACTACCTGTGCATTGTAAAGCATCAGCGCTCGTGTATGAACTTTAATATTCACTGGTTGGACTCATTTAAATCTGCTGCAATTGTTCCATCGATTCCGACCGACACTGAAGACGACACGCGCAGGCCCCCCCCAATTAAGTGTTGCTCGAGCGGCGAAGAATATTCAAGCCACCTCAAAAAGTTCCGCATTTAACTTGAACTTGAACATGACGTTTGTTCCTGGTGGTTGGCATGAACCTGAAGGACTGGGTTGAGATGGCGAGCATGTCCAGACATGCAACACAAACGAAAGATGTTCCACACACATATGTGCATGAAGCATTTTATTTATTATGCACGCTGTAGTTCGGCACTTTCACTCTTCTTGTAGCAAGGTCCTAGAATTTTTATTATCGGAAATTTAAAAGTTCGATTTCATTTTTTCGTGTTGTGACAATGTTTTTTTCATATTTGTTTACAATATCGAATCATGGAGCAATAGCTGATTTTGAAGTTGTAGGTAAATGATCTTTGTCAAATGGAATCCAGCATTATTCTTTTGATCACTTTTCACTAAGTTTGGTAGTGATAAATTCCAAAGATCTATTTCAAGGAAATCATGTAATAAATCATTGATGTTTCAACAAATTCGAATACATGATAATCCGAATGTACTCTTGATTATGAGGTATCCTTAATTCTGAAAAACCTTGGTTGCCCAAAGTAAGAAATATTCCCTAAATTATTAGCGCATTTGGTAGGGTAAGTTATATCTTATGCTATTCATATCAGTTAACATTAAATTTTGATTTGCGGTGTGATAAATGCTTCATCCCAAAACCTGGAACAATGTCTATCAGTTTTTCGTGCAACCAGCTATTTTACAGTGCAATCTCAATAGAATTTTAACGTTGTTTTGAGCTCCTTCGCATCTACGTTGTATTTTGCAGAAAAACTGCTAGCACGCTCCAGTGGCTTGGCCTGAACTCTTATATACTGCTGAAAAATATTTGCGGCAAGAAATAGTCATTATGGTCACTCGGTCTTTTAATTATAATTCTTTATCTAAGAGGAAGTTCGATGAAAAGAAAGATATGTTTACAAAGCAGGCGACATTACTATAATGGCAATGACCTGATACAGCTGCCAGACGACACCAACCTGTTCAATGTGGCAAAATATTTATTTAAACATAACATTTACTTAATTCGCTAACTATTAGCTCTATTAACATGCGGAATTAATTACAACTAATAATACTTAATAACGACCGATTTGTGGATAAGTCGGCAGTAAGCAGCCAGTACCCCGCTCCTACACATAACCACCAAGTGTGGTGTGTTGGTATACATGATGGTGATTTTCAACATTGCATCACATATTTCTTTCTTCTGTGAATAATAACGTAAATGAATGAGGCCTATATAATACTTAAGCATATTATATGTGTCTACATATATATGTCAATATAATATAAGAGATTTTTCAAAGAGTTTTGATGTAAAAAGTTAATTAGATGACTTTCAATTTACCATGCGTGCGAGCTTCACGATGTCGTAGTCTGGAAATTCTTTACGTGCAAGCTGAAGGTACCACGTTAGATCCCTGTTAATGTTAAAAATTCCTGGGCCTATACTTAAAAAAAGTTAAGAGATCGTAAGTTCATCAGCCAATCATTGACGGCCTTTCAAGCAAATCCACCAATCATAGACAAGAAAATAGAGCATAAGTAATTACGTTCACTTAGCGAATTTCGAAAGTATGGGCCCTGGCCTTGGTAAGTGAAGGAACTGATTTGTTATTGGTAATAAATGCATAGGGTCTTTAATAAAATATGTTCCTATTCATTTAAGGTAACTACTTGTAATATGATGTAATTATACAGGATATCATCGTTGCATTGAGGACAGCGATTAATTTTCTAAAATCAACATTTAATCAATGTGATTTCACGCTCATGATTTCAACGTTGAAACAGCGTCGCACTAGTAACATCATTTCGATGTTGTATCGTAACATCAGCATAAGGTTGCTTCAATTTTCATTTTGGACTAGACACAACATGATTTCAACATCGTGAACGGAGGTGTTTTCGAAGTGGATTCAACCAGGCAATGCGTGCTGGGACTCTTCGTTCACGATGTCGGAATGATGTCGAAATAATGTTGACATTGCACTACAAAATATTTGGTTGCATGGAAAACTGATCGGAGTTGAACATTGATGATTTCCAAGCATATCTTATACGGCCAACTAGATACATGACATTAGCCGTTTAAGAAGTTTTATTTGTAATTTATCTTGTATAATTCATTAAAACTAGCTAACAAGGTAATATATTATTTTAATTTAGCAGTGCGCCGCAGGGATCAGGCGCATGGAGGCGTCTGGCTACTATTGAAAATCCTTGCCAGTTGAAGCCTGACTAGCAAAGATTAATATCTGAATTTAGAAGATTTTCATTGTTTAATAGCTGTTAGAAAAATTGATCAAAATTCAGTGTTCGAAGATCGACGTTGCTTCAATGTTAGAATAAGGTCATTTTCCGTCTCTTCTAGTGTTGGTATGTCGATTTTATGTTTAATTGTGATTGTTCGACATTTCTATCCGAAATCAACTCGTAATCGACGTTGTTTCAAAGTCCTATATTGGCTAAGTAACGCTCAACCCAAAGCTAGGCAACGCTCAAATTGAAGCTAAACAAAACTGAACCCGAAGCTAAGCAACGAACAGGACGAAGCTAATGCATTTCTTTTAATTGTTCTGCCTTTTATATTTAAAATAGTGTCAGAGGTCGATGGCGACAAAATGCCAACAGACCTAATAACATATCAAAGTTTCTAGCGGTCACAGCTCACGCTAGGCTTTTTTGTTCAACACTGGAGGACGGTATATTGGCTACGAAGATTTCAATTGTGCCTTGGCATCTTATACGTTTATGTGATTATTAGGTATTCAAAAAATACTAATAATAAAACAAATAAAAAAAACTTTTAAAAATCACGTTTTCTTAACGGACAAAAAAGAAAAACATTAACTCTTACATAACATTAAAGTTATGTAGAATGTTATATAATGTTATGTATGAGTTAATTTTTTTCTTTTTTGTCCGTTAAGAAAATGTGTTTTTTTTTTAGTTTTTTTGTTTGTTTTATTTCATTGTTTTTAGTTTTGTAACCAACAGAAAAACGTGGTTTTTAAAAATTGTTTTTAAATTTATTTATTTTCTACTTCTTAGTTTGCGTGGATTTTTAGTATTTTTTTTTATTTTTGTAATTAATTTTTTTCAATTATTACTTCTGACGATCAAGTCTTGAATTGTTAGGCAGCATAAGCATGCATACCAAATTTCAAGTTTCTAGGATCTTCAGAAGTGCTCTAAATTAAGGTTTGATTTTTTGATGACAGACACGAAACGAAAATAAGAAACACGTGGCAAAAAGAAGCTAAACAAAACTGAACCCGAAGCTAAGCAACGAACAGGACGAAGCTAATGCATTTCTTTTAATTGTTCTGCCTTTTATATTTAAAATAGTGCCAGAGGTCGATGGCGACAAAATGCCAACAGACCTAATAACATATCAAAGTTTCTAGCGGTCACAGTTCACGCTAGGCTTTTTTGTTCACCACTGGAGGACGGTATATTGGCTTCGAAGATTTCAATTGTGACTTGGCATCTTATACGTTTATGTGATTATTAGGTATTCAAAAATACTAATAATAAAACAAATAAAAAAAACTTTTAAAAACCGCGTTTTCTGAACGGACAAAAAAGAAAAACATTAACTCTAAGAAAAAAAAAACATTAACATGTAAGAGTTAATTTTTTTCTTTTTTATCCGTTAAGAAAATGTGTTTTTTTTTAGTTTTTTTATTTGTTTTATTTCATTGTTTTTAGTTTTGTAACCAACAGAAAAACGTGGTTTTTAAAAATTGTTTTTTAAATTTATTTATTTTCTACTTCTTAGTTTAGCGTGGATTTTTAGCATTTTTTATTTTTGTAATTATTTTTTTTAATTATTACTTCTGACGATCAAATCTTGAATTGTTAGGCAGCATAAGCATGCATACCAAATTTCAAGTTTCTAGGATGTTTAGAAGTGCTCTAAATTAAGGTTTGAATTTTTGATGACAGACGGACACGAAGAGAAGCTAAGAAAAACGTGGTAATAAATAGACTAATTCGTAGATTTAATCTTTGTGTTCGTAAATGCGTAACTTGACTTCAGGTTACACTGAGTTAAAGACAATTTTGAAAGCTCCGTAATGCAACGACGAGAATAAAATCACGTATAATATTTAATTTTATGAAATAATGGCAATCTAGACAACGATTAAATTAGAAGGAAAAGTATACAGCGAAAAAGATGTGCCACCTGAAAAAGAGCTCAATTATATTTGCCTTGTTTTGTACCGGAGTATAAAGTTCGCTGCAATGTCTGTAATCAATAGGCGGAGCCTAATTGGATCAATGCAAGCACTAGGCTGAGAAATTTCATGTGTTATGTTAAGCTTCAGAGCTCGTTTTTGAACTCAGATATCTGTCGACATTCGCCAAGTGCAGGCTCCCGAGTGTGGCTGTAGCTACACAGATTCTTCAAACCGAGAAAAAGCTTGCTAAATTGAATATATTCTTTAAACAAGAACTACAACACTCTAACGTGCACATAAACATCTTTTATTGGATATCGAGATTTATCGATTTTATCCAATAGAGGTTGATAAATTATTATCTTTATTGAGGATCAAAAGTGACCAATTGCCACCAATCCATCCTGCATACGAATTTACGGCGTCATTGACACTTCAACAGTCCAGGCAATATTCATATACAGCGATGAAACTGACAAAGTATTCAACATGGGACTTCCTGTTGCAGCTCATCATGCTAGAGTGCGCGACAGGAGTTATAGTTTCTCGCCACTTCTCAAAGGTAAAATTTTCTCAAGTTCATTTTAGTAAACCCTAAATTTTGTAATATCATTCCAAACTTTCTGACATTGTACTCACAGTTATCACTTTCGGTTACTTAGCTGACGTTTTTCAGGTTTGGCTTCGGTGATTTATTTTACATTGTCTTTGCGTAACTATACAGTGAATTTTATTTACTAATTTAGACATTGTTGAAGATATTCAGCAATCGTTATCTGCATTCAGGAATTTTTCAAGACAAAATGATAATCGACGGATAAATTTTCAAGTTTCACCAGAAGTCAATAATTAAAGCAGTACGTGCGTCTTTCGTTGGAGCGAAAAATGAGCATCTTCAGGGACATTTTCATGAATGGAACAAGAAATGTTTCATTCAATTAGAAAGCCCACGATAAGTTGATTTTTTTGCGGGAAACTTGTTTGTTGTTTTTGTTCAGACATCTAGAACTTTATTTCGCTGAGAATTTATAAATGATTTTTTTTATCGGGCTATATCAAACAAAAAACATTTCAAACCATTAATTATATACTATAGCAAGTTTGATTGTCTGTGTTGCGAGTTGACGCTGATATTCCCTTTAGCGCCTGGAGTAAGCAGCAGGCTCGATATTTAATTACGGCGCGTCAAGGATTATAATTAATTATCAACGCTTTGTCCACAATTCGTCGAAAGTCCTCATTTATTAAAAAAAATTATTTATTTATTTTTTTTATTAAAAAAATTGTAGCTCGAATCACAATCTCACATTATAGGATTCAACGAATTATCGGTAAAAATTATTCGTTGTTCAAAATTAATTTAGTCACTAACTTAAAGAGGCCATGTTATCGAACCACCATCAAACTTAGTCAACCAAGTTTAGACTTGAATCATCTCATTACTTTGAATCAGCTGATCCAATTTAATCAATTAGTAATTAAATATTTGAAGGGTGTTTTTATTTTCAATAGTTACAAAAAATGTAACTACAAAAAAAAATAGAAAGCAAAAGTTATTAAATGACTGAGTTAATTGTCGTCAGCTATGCAGTTATTCAATAGAAAAGATTTGAGAATATTTTCTTACAGAAGTAAGACATTTTATATTTACAAACCAACAATAAAATTTCTTCTCAAAAATATTCCAATATTAGTTTATTGTTAATACACGCAGTCGGGTCAATATATAGGGCGCTGATTTGGTTAAATTTGTTTAGACTCAAATCGCAGTGCCAGAGATTTGAGAAAGTCCAGTTCCATCTCGAATATCGAATCCCGATAATCTAGTTCCTCTAGTCAAGTCGTCTTCTCTGTAATTATTTTCATACATAAGAACTGAAAAACGTTTCGTCCAAATCCCCATTTTTCACAGACCTTCATTTATCTATAGTTTTGAAATTTGGAATTCATGTGTCGAAATAAAAATGTTTCTTCAAAGTTTTAAATCCGTTTAGTTTCAATATATCTATTTTCGATGTGTTTACCCATTCCGTAAATAAATATAAAATTTCAGGCTCAGGTAATATCTTTAAAAGATGTATTTGTGGATACCAACTGCAACTACAGGATTTCCGTGGCCGGGCATCAAATACACATTCAAATAAACATACCTATGCGATAACGTGAACAATGCGAATAAAAAATTAATAATTATAATGACATATAACCACGTTTTCATTCATTAGTAATGATTGAGTACTTACTATTCACCAGATACGCGGCAGTTTCGTAGAGCCTCTCCACTGTGACCTGACCACGCCCCAAGTTCCCGCCTCGACCAAATTCCTTGGCCCACGCCGTGCTTGCGGTCTCATGTGCCAGAACACTGCGGACTGTCGCTTCTTCTGCCTCCTTGAAAGTGAGTAACTCCTTTAGTTATTTCGTACATATATTATCGTTCTAATTTATCGCGTCGTACATACTGATATTTTTTTCTACACGACAAGAGCGATGATTATAATTACATCCGTACAACTCTCACAATTCAGTTAAACACATTTGATAGTGTAAATTAAGCTTTATTTTATCATTTATATATTATTGCTATGTATTACATCCAACAAAAGGTTTAAAAGTAAAATAAATATAATATTATTGAAATTAACAGATTGCTTAAATGATATACATTTTCAAAGTTATTTATCTATTAAGCCTAAATGAAATTTGGTAATTCATTTTTATTCAATTGTTAGGGCCGGTATCAACGGATAGCTTTCGAATAAACCGTGCCTATATAGTCCTCTCTCTATCGGATTTTGTCAGTAATGATTCACGGGAAAGAGAATAAGAAAACTGGGAAGCTGCTTTCCTTTAAAAATCTACCGGGAAGCTACGACATATTCTCAATTATAATAAAACTGTGTAACATAAAAACTCGTCTTGTAGTGGGAGGAATATGCTACACTAATACTGTTTCCGAGCATTTGTCGGCGGGCCTTACGACATCAGAACCATATAGTACTTTACAGAGGATTTGACTGATACATCACTGTTAAGCTACGACAATTACGGCAATTAACATCAATTTAGTCCTACAAAGTGAGTATCCTTCTATATGGAAGCCGCACCCTTGACAAGTACATAGCTATTTTCGAAGAAAGGAGTCTAGTTTTTTTTATCTCGATCCAACTTGGAAGAGCACATGCAGTAGCTCAAAAATGGAACGCTGAGTGCTTCAAGCGTCGTCAATTATATTGTTGGCCAGCTACATTACGAAACGAGGACCTTCTGAATTATTCCATGATATAACTTTATTTCTTTAACCTATCTCTTGCGGACTATTCAAAGCTCTCAGGCACAACCGTTATCAAAGTAAGGAATAATCGAAATAGCGCTCATCCAGAATCTTTGTTATCTTTAGTTCTCGGAAAACACGGTTTCTGAAAAGAAACCATACACATGCGGTATTTATTTTGACAAAGTATTAATTTGTCTACAACATTCATGATTATTGACATTCAACTTTATACAGTGAATATTTGTACGCAAAATCAATGAGAATCTTCTAACATGACAGTAAAAATACGGCTTACCATTTTTTTCCTGTTCCTCTCCTTTCTTTTCACCGCAGCCCACAAATGAAGAATGAACTAGACTCGCTAATTTACTAAAGGTTCAGCAAGACACACGGACCTAAGTTTCTAATCTAGCAAAATGTTGCGTTCATGCCACAGAGGATCGCTAAGACCTCGCGAACTGAGATTCTAATCTAGCGAAAATATTGCATTCACAACACAATCGATTTACATACTGCTCCGAAATCAAGTCACAACCAATCTTCCATGCACAGATAGATTTCCTTTCACATAATACATATATTCCAGCGGTTCATTAACGACAGTCTTAGTTTTCTACTACGCTAGCCGTAATTTGCGCGGCTTTGCGAAACGGGTATCGACGTTGATGCTCCTATCCCGACCTAACTCGTTATAGAACCTTAATGACTGGTGGTAATAACGCTTTTGTAGGTACTCCTTTGTTCAATCGGACTTGCTTGTACTTTGATAACGTAATGAGCCGGCAATTAGTTTTAATTTTTCTAAATTCATGGCGACAGTAAACTAATCTCTCGTGCTGCAGCCAACTTGTATATGACGCTGAATCGGTTACAGAATAGTTTTGATTGCTTGTTTGCTAACCGTTGCTCTCTCTTTCTCCACTTATTGAGAGTATCCTAGCGCTGCAAAAGATTGGCAGCGGCCATTTATACACTAACCTAATTGAAAATATTCTAATCAAATATACCATCCAAGCAAATCTAAGTAAAGCTTGATTCTAAATCTCGTCATAGGCCAGTTAATGTATATTCTCGAACCCGTTTTCGTTTTCTCGCCGTTCCCACTGACGGTTTTTTACACGTCATCTTGTCTTTCGAATTCCTGTTGTAGTATGAAGAGGTTCACAGAATAATTGTTAATGAGAAATTTTCCGTCTGCAGTGCATTGTTGGACCTCGAAATTTAGTTCGGTAAAATAAGCTGCGGTTCGTAGCATTTGGCGAGAAATGAAGCGGCAGTGAATTGGAAGTATTTGGTCATTTTTATGGAACAACTATAATAACCGCTTCAGCGATATTAGAGGGTAATTTAAGAATCTTAAAGTACTTATACGTCACAATTGCCGGCAATTGAAACTTTAATGTATTTATCCTCCTGATTTGATCCACCATCACGCCATTTTAAACGTGCTTCACTTACCTTGTTAACAGGCAAGGGTACCTGCTCTCTATTCAGCGCTTACGTTGCCGTACGATGGCAAGGTCATCCTCCGTCTCCATCAGGTACAGCATTCGACGCTTGTTACACCTCGTGGGGAGACCCACGTGACGTAGTGAAGACGACCTCTCCTTTCAATTACTCTTCTGTTTATCCTGGAGCCAGCGCTAGTTTTGTGCATGCAATCGATGGCTACGCCTGTGCAGAAACAAAAAATCGCTTTATAACGGAACTCGCTTCAAATAGCTCCTCACAGATTGACTTGGAACAGGTCACTCGCGTACAGACAGTGATCGTGGCCACCGCTAATGGAGATTACATTGAAGACGTGGATGTGTTCCTCGGCAACACGACTGACTTCACCCTTGGGCAGAAAATTGGACGAGTTGACGGCCTCGTGCCTTCTTGGTCAACGTATACCATCAACACCAACACCAGCGTAGCAGGACGGTACCTCACGTTCTTCATGGCACCGTATAGTTACCACGGCTACGCTGACATGCAAGTTATTCCGCTGCCTTGAGCTTGTGCTTTCACCACATGGAAATACCAATGTGAGCAGGAAAGTCGATAAGTCAGCCACGTATAAATTATAATTTTAACTGATAACAACTGATAAAGTTCGATTGTCGAGCAGTAACAGGCTGATGAATTTAGGTTGTCCTGTCTTAATTCCTAAAACTCACTTACAGACAAGAATTTCAAACTTTATATTCTCGTAGCCGGAGAAAGTTAGTTCTGTTAGAAAAAATTCAATGAAACTACTAACAACAATTTCTATTAATTCTCTCTCATAAAGAGAGATATAATGAAAAATTATTTACAATCCGTATGGACAGATATGAAATACAATCTGAAATTCTTTCCCTGAACGATTGCCCATAATTCGCGGCTTGAACTCGAGATGCTTGATTTTTTCTTTATGCTGATCCCGTCAAATCAACATGAGCAAACAAAAAGGGGTATTCAGTAGCTGGTGGTTAAATAAACTGTGATGGTTACTTCTTATTTACTAAGACTAACGTTAATCTAAATAAAATTGAATCTTGTTGCCAGGAGGCTATTATTCATAGTGTACCACCTACTATTTGTACTTTCTCAATGTGTTTGACTCTCTTGTACGAAGGTTTTGCACTTGCACACCCTTTCCATCTTACTCACAACCAAACTATTTACTTGAAATGCATGCTGAACATCGATTGGTCTGGAATACATGATCTCATTCAGCACTCATACAAGTCGAGGAATACTTCTTGATTAACTTCCATTTGTCGTTTGTTAGACTACGATCAAGCTGGCTCTTAGATTGACCCATATTTTATGCATTTTTTTTAGCTGTTATTACTTATTTCATTGTTCTGCTGTCTCCTTGCAAACATAATTTTTGCTTTAGTTCTACTCAACTTGTTATCCGAGTCGCTCATTTCATTTAAGCGACATTGCATCCCTTGTTCTATGGGTTATGCTCTTCCTAATTGGTTGTCTTTTATCGAGTTAACTACCAATGCTTGCCTGAAACAAGAGTTAATTCCTCCAAAAACACATTCTGTGTTTATCGTGTGATTAAAGCATTTTTCTAGTCATTACTTCTAGGTTTTTGCGGGCGACGATGAAGGTTGAACCTATACCTCAGCCCAGCAGTACTTCCTCAAGTAATGTTCTAATTTACCCCACTCTGGTAGTTTAGTTTTGTCCCATAATCACTCCGTTTTACATGGTTCATTTTGCTTAACAAGATAAGAGATCGGCGCTTCTTTTTTCATATTCTCGCAATTGACAGTAATTGCGAGTAAATGACAGTAATCACAAATTGACCAGTTTTAAACACTCGAGCCTACGCAGAGATCCACTTGATATTCACGGACATTTATTTACTTTATTTTACTACTGCCGCGTTTAAAGAGTTTCGTCACGTAGAAGCACGCTACATGTTTGGCCATCGAACTGCCGTTGGATCGACAGCCTTCATTAATCATTATCTGCACAGATTCTTTCTTACAACAAGTTTGGGTTTAACTCTTGCTGGGCTAAAATTTCAATGTATTTGTATTTCAATGTATTTTATTTTTTGTTTTGTATGTAGTCAAGTATTTCAATGTGCGTTATATATCCCATATATGATTAAAGTGCATAGGATAAAAATTGGATGTTCGTAGCCGTATCAATCGGGAAGTAATTTCAAATTATATACACTCTGACCAGAGAATGCATCATGGAAAATCGGAAGTGTGGAATATTCGACATGCGAACAAAATTTTATCGAGCCGTTGCAGTTCGTGAGTCCATGATCAGAACTTCTATAAGGAAATAATTCAACGTCTTTATTGAGTGTGTGCACACAAGCGTCCACGACATCGTGGTCGTGTCAATATTTAATCTTGAGATACATCAAAGTCCTGCCACGATGATAATATATATCGATGCCCATTTATATTGCAAAATAAATTCATTCAACCATACATACGACGAAATTCTCAACATCAAAATAAAAAATAATATGCGAATTAAATTTCCGTTGTCAGTATATACATTATCCACTTAAGGCAACAAAATTCCTCCAGTCGTTATAGACACTTTTTACTGAATAACTGGTAGGGGGTGGACCAGACGAACATAGGAAATGCTAGGATCATTTCCATGTCCCTATATAGTGAGTGCACCTCAGAAATTTATTTTCGCCTGTGTATAACTTGAACATGGTTTAAATTTAGTTTCTGGTGGTTGGCATGAATGGACCCATGCAAGTCGAGCATGTCCAGACATGCAACGCATACGAGCCAGGAATGAATCACATACACGAGAAGTTGAGCACATTGTATTTTTTGTATTGTGCCCGATGGAGTTTTGTGTTTTCACTGTTCAAGTAGAAAGATCCTAGAATTTTAACTGTCGAAAATTTGAGAATTTCGTTATTTTCGTTTGTGACAATGGTTTTTCCATAATGTCTTCAACAACATTGAATCAGAGAACAATAACCGATTTTAAAGCTGTGAAAATATTATCTATGTCAAATTTAATCCATCATCATTCATTCAATCACTTGTCATAAGTGTGATTGGTAATAAATTCCAGTAATCTAAGTCAATTGAATTATGTAATATTTCTTTGATAAATCAACAAATTTAAATACACAATATTCCGAATGTACTGCTGAGTTTCAGACATCCATGATTCTGAGGAACCTTAGCTGGCACAAGTCATAAATATTCACTAATTATTAGAGCATAAGATAGGTTAGAATTTATTGTAAGATAGGTTAGAAATAATAGAATTAGTATCATAATAGTATATAATAATAGCATTACTATCATAATAGTTAAATGTTTTATCACCTATACACCTTGTTCAACGTTAATCAAGCAATTCTCAATATAAAGCTAGGCAACGCTCACCATGAAGATAAACAAAACTAAACCCGGAGCTAAAAAACGACCAAGACGAAGCTAATTTATTTTTCTGTTCTGCCTTGCATGTTTAAAATAGTGCCAGAGGTCGATGGCGACCAAATGCCAACAGACTTAATAAAGTATTAAAGTTTCTAGCGGTCACAGTTCACGCTAGGCTTTTTGTTCACCACTGGAGTAAGTAAGGTATATTGGCTTCGAAGATTTCAATTACTGTAGGCCTTGGCATCTTATACTTTTATGTGATTTTTAGGAATTCAAAAACACTAATAAAATAGATTAATTCAGATATTTTATCTTTGTGTTCGTGAATGCGTATCCTGACTGCAGGTTTCATCGACAATGTTGAAAACAGCAAAATGTAAACACGAGAATAAAATTACATATGCTATTATTTTTTCTGAAACGAGGGCAATCGATACAGCGATTAAACTAAACTAAAATGAATACATTCAAAAAATGTTTTCCATAGTCGTCGTGCCACCTGAACGTGCCAAAGTCCACCAACCTGAACGTTATAATATTGATCTATTGTAATTATTCCGGAGTATGAAGTTCACTGCAATGTCTGGTATCATTTAGGCTGAGCTTAATTATATCAACGTTAACATTCAACTGAAAAACTACCTGTGCATTGTAAAGCATCAGCGCTCGTGTATGAACTTTAATATTCACTGGTTGGACTCATTTAAATCTGCTGCAATTGTTGCCACTATAAAATCTGCTGCCGACCGACACTAAAGACGACACGTGCAGGCCCCCAAGTGTTGCTCGAGCGACGAAGAATATTCAAGCCACCTCAGAAAGTTCCGCAAAAGTTCAACTTGAACATGACTTTTGTTTCTGGTGGTTGGCATGAAACTGAAGGACTGCGTTCACAGCGCTAGGGCAAGCGTGTTCAGACATGTAACGCATGCGAGGGATGTTTCACATCATGAACACGTAGCATTTTTAGCGCATTTTCTCATTTATGGAAAAAATGCTCTATTGTGCTTGCCATGTCCGTCCGTCCGTCTGTCCGTCTGTCTGTCTGTCTGTCCGTGACTTCACGTTTTCGTCGACGAGAAAATGCGCTCTGCTGTCACTCACTGCAGTGAGTACTGAGTTACATTTTTTTTATATTGTGTACGTTGTTCTTTAGAATTATTACTGTTCTTGTAGTAAGGTGCAGTTGTTATTGGGTGAAATTTGAAGCTCCGTTCCACATTTTTGCATTGGATTGCGGCAATGGTTTCTTCATAATATGTTCAATAATATTGAATCTGTATTAGAACGCAGAATTAGCTTGTGATCGGAGAATTTAATAAATTGATTTTTTCTCTGATCATTTAATAATCAAATTCAATGATCAGAGCATTTAGTAATTTAAATTTCCAGGGCTGATCAACTCTTCATAATACACTGGTTGATCGAAAGGCAGGTTTTAGAAAGTAATTTTAATTTATTAACGACGTTTAGAATGCAACAACATACATTTTCAAGTTATTGGAAGCATCGAGCAATTAAGTTTTAATGGAAATAATACATGATACATGTAAATAGGATACAATGCGAAATTTTGAAACCTGAAAATAAATCAGAAATAATTTCGAAGTTCAGAAACTCGGTAGTTTGAGTCCGATCCGTTGAGATCAGACTCTATTCGTGTTTAATATTGAACCATAGAGCAATAACTGATTTTGAAATTGAAGGAAATATATCTATTTCAAATGGAAACAAGCTCCGGTCATTCAATCAACCACTTAATGTCAAACATGTACTTGTATCATGCAGTATAGCTATGTCTATATATATAGGACTCTTCAAAGAAGCCTTAATTGATCGAAGTAAGCTTTACGCTTATACGTAAAACGTTTTTTGTTACGTTTATATTTCTTTTGGGGCGAGTTACCAAGATTCAGAAATGATGAAATTCTAATCAAACAATAGTTCAGGACCAAACCTTCTACTAAAACTTGTGCTTATGAAATGGGCTGCAATTTAAGTAGAACTTGGAGAGTGAGTTTAGTATGCAGAGTTATTTTCTATACACAGGGTGCTTTATACTGCAAATGCACGAGTCTCAATAGGTCTTCAAAAACTACTTAAATTCAAGAAATATAATAAAGCCAAGTAAAGTGCTAGAAAGCCGGCCTCCAGAAAATGCAATAAGTAGTAATCTAATTTCTCTCACTTGAAATTTATTTCCTGATGCTTGTCAGTTTTGATCTTGATGCCTGTTAAATGCAATAAGAAGTAAACTTTCACATTGAAAAGCTAAATTGTTCCGAAATGTTATGATGATAAAAGGCAGCATGATTGACCGAAAAACCTCAATTGATCTACGTACGGAACTTTGTCCTCTCATCATCAAATCTAAGAAAATAATTGGAATATTTCTCACTTCCTGAACCTGCCATTCAGTCTCTGCCACCACTCCAGCCTGATGAAATTGGGTAACAATTACTGACGAGTATAAATTTAGATGACCGTCAGGACCGCAATTCAAAATTTCAACGCTGGTAAAAACTTCTCCTGAAAATCTTTGTTCTGAATTACAAACCTAAATGATCGAATTCGATGCCAATGGATGAGAAGCAATCCTGATGAACGAACCGACCTAGTCATGCATATATCACTAACTGAAGTTGAGAAAGTTTTGATTAAGCGACCAGTCTCAGATTAATTTTGATCTAGCAAGTAACCCGGGTATTTCTTGTGATGGATAATCTTCTAAAACATTCTCAAGCTTCTGTTTAAAACCTTTAAATGATTAATTATCGATTTAGAAAATATTTATGTCAAAAATTCCAAAATTAGTATAATAATATACGGGTTATTTAGGTACACATCCAAAATCCTTGTTTTAGATCCGGTCGAGAGAAACCTTCAGGGCTTATTTCCTCGGGGTAACGAACAATTGTTTTTTTTCCTGCTCAAAAATTCCCTACCCCAAGTCCAGTGCATTGGTAGAAACAACAATTGGATTGACACACGGCACCTAGAAACAATTAATCTCGGTTTCAAAAATTGAAGGAATTTCTAATTTGATGCAAACTAATATTCAAAAATATTTCTGGCTAGTTATCATATAATATCAAAAAGACAGTTTAGGAAATACTAATCCACCGTTGTTAATGAGAAAATAATAAAAAAATTTGCTGCAGTTCTTCTGACTTCTGCATTACGTACCCATTTGCACACCTCAGTCTTGTCTATTATGATTACTCATCACAATTGGCAAATCGGCTATAGATTGAATTAACAATAATAAATTAACAACTGCCACAATTTTTTCATGCGAAGCAATGCTTATTTTTTTGCCACACTCTGGATTTAGCAGCTGCAAAGCCAGGGAAATTTTACATTTCAATTTAATCAAAATATTGTTTGGATATTTGTAAACCTTTCAAAGCACTCCATTATTTTTTTTATTCAGCATTTATCAAGAATTTCCTATGAGGCTAGGCTCTAAAAATTTCTATTCCGCAGAATATCAAGTAAAATACTTCAAGCTCAACGATTTCTTCAAGGGCGCCACATTTCTATACACGACATGGACAAGGGCGCCACAGTCTATACGGCGGTGTTCAACTTAATGTTAATATGCCAATATTGATCAAGACTATTACTTTGAACATGATTAATGCAGCCGCATTGAATAACGTTAGAGAATCGATCTGCAATATAATGCTATGTAATACTAATACCACGTAATGCAATTTGCCGCAAATGCTTAAAATATAAATTTCTCCTAGCATTTGTATTATTAAGTAAGAAGCCATGATTGCAAAGAGGACCTTTTTTTCTAAGAGACACTATCCATTATTTGGTATAATACATATAAATGTACATTCATGTATTGTCTGCTCTCATTTTATTGATTTATTTTGAGATCATGCAAAAATGCTGAATCCAAATTTACTGATCATTTGTAGGTATAATGTTCACGATTTGATAAAATATTGTGAGTAAACGGATATAACATGAATGATTCACTGAAATAATTCCTTTAACCCTTATATGCTCACCGACACGTGATATATTCAATTCTTCTCAATGTGATAGTCCTCTGGCTAAACTAGCGTTTGTGAGTAGCGTCTAGAATCTCCTTGATTTCTTAATGGGAATTCTAGTAATTTCTCTTGGTTTTCACTCACAGCTAACAAATTGCTAAGAAATTTCTATGGTAACAATTGGGCAAATGCCTTTCAATTCTAACCATCCTACCTAAAGCTTGAAATGTCCTCATCATTTATTCCCCAATTGTTTTGTGATTTGGGTTTTTACAAGTCCTTTTAAATTATCTATATGATCGAAAGAGAAAGAGATCATCGAAAGAGATCATATCATTTTGAGGATTTGTTAAGTTTAAGATGAACTTTGAATTGTTAAGGAATCTTTTTAAATACGGTCTGACATACGTACTTTTTTCAGAAATTGCTTTTCAGCTAGAGGGCAGGAGCTTCTTGGCTGAGTATATGAAATACTCTGTCACAGACTGTTATACTCGAATCACTTCTGAATCATAGTTTCCATGAAGAAGTGATCAAGTAACTGTGCATCAGTAGGTACACAAGTTTCACTACAATGAGCACCTGCGGCTGCCAACTCTTTTTTTGGTCCAGTGATTTGTCGTGGTCACTGCCCAGTTGTCAACCTATAAGGTCATATCAGTTGTCAACCCATCACATAGAAAAATAAAAGCATCAAAGCAGTTGTTGTAAAGTAAAACTCCTTCATGACTTCGTGTAATGCCGTTACAATGATAATATTTCATTCTTGATTCACCTGTCAACCCTCGTCATGGAATAAAAATCCAGCTTGTATTAATGGGAACAATCGGAAGATTGTTCCCACTAATATCGGACTCCTCACAATATCGGAGCTCTGCCCTCTATTGAATTAACGCTTCGCTTTGATCCAAGTCACGGGCGGTTTTTTTGCGAAAACCTAAGTCTCTTGCTACATTATTTATCTCCTCCTTAGAAGACTGTTTTGGTAATGAAAAATTTGAATTATTAAATATAGACTCATCAACGTATTTCAGCATGAGTTTGTCTATATGCCAACTCTTTTGTTGGGCGCTTGGACATAGGCCATGGGTAGTTGTGCTTTTTTTGGCCCTCTATTTGCGGTTTTGAATAAATAAAATAATGATTCTGTTGGAATATTGTCAATAATCACATAATGAAAAACATTTTTACTGTAACTTTTCAGCTTTAATGCACATGATAGAAACGGTTTCATAATAACCAGGCAACCCGTATGAAGTTCCATTCTTGTTTCTTCTTGTTTAGTGTGCTGGAATGGAATTAATTTTCGTAGATATATTATTAGGAGTTAAATTATCCACTGGTTCGCCTTATCCAGTCAATCAGCATCTGTTGTTTTAAAAAACATCAGTCAATCTCAAACATTGAAAGTTCGGTCGTAGGCAAGTTTGAAGATTGGCTCATACAAGACAAAAGTTACTATGATTGATTAACAGGACGACATCCTATTTTCAAGAATCTATAGTTCAGAAAATGTATTTAAAGACGAATCCTGCTCTAGACTTGCGGTTGTATCATTTTTCTACTGCCTGCCTTTGATGACGTCCAAAAGACGCTTCAAGCCTGAAAACAAGAATAAATTATTAAAGTGTATTGAAAATATACGCTCACATAAATATCACATAACATAGTTGTAACCTGAATCTATCAGGTATGTGTTCTCATTGTAGCGAATCGTATCGACTGTGAGGTATAACCTACATACGAGATAAACAGCGATCTGACGGCAATACCTACAACGTTCTGGCGAAGAAGGCATGAAGGCAACGTTATAGAGTTGGGTTTTAATGTACCGATGGCGAGGAGGTCGTGGTCAACTGAGAAGACAAAGGCATAAGACAACGCATAGAGTTGGGTTTTAACGTACCGACGACGAGGAGGTCGTGGTCAACTGAGAAGACAAAGGCATAAGACAACGTATAGAGTTGGGTTTTAACGTACCGACGACGAGGAGGTCGTGGTCAACTGAGAAGAAAAAGGCATAAGACAACGTATAGAGTTGGGTTTTAACGTACCGACGACGAGGAGGTCGTGGTCAACTGAAAACACAATACGGAACCATCCAGGAACTGCGCACCGCTGCTCCTTGCCCGGGACCACGTACACCCCAGCGGCTATGAAGCGTTGGAACAACTCTGGGGGCGGGAGAAAACCAAATAACTGGGGTATATTACCGTATATATTTTTATAATACTTGCAAACCCCCGTAGTGCGTTTGGTACATTTTTTCAACGCAAACTTCTCCTTCCTTCAGATATGATAATAAGAATGAAGCAATTGCTTTTATGGCTCAAGTCAAGTTTTTTCTCTTCTCCGTATGAAACAGCTTAATTCTATTATTCAAGTCTGATCTTCCCTCCTCCTTCGGGAAAATTTACTACTCCCGGAGAAATAAATCCTTAGGATGCTTTCATATGTTCTTGCAGGAAACTATTGACACAGGAGAATATTCAACATGATGGTACCCATATTGTCGAGTTCCAAACAGATATATTCAAAAGAACTGACACACAAACGTCTAAAGTATTAGTAATTTGTAAATATTTAAAACAATTGAAAATATCTATAAGGCGGATGTTCCTTCAATTTTCGCGGGACTGTCACTATAGTGGCAATTAATGGTCTGCCGCTACAGTGGGAGTTCCTTCACTAACGTTTAATTCCATGTTTACCATCCTCCAATTCCCTCAGGCTTTTAATATTCAAAACCAATACTGCTGCATGCACTGATTAGTGATGCATGCAATTAAGCAAGAGTGGTATTATGAATATACTTATGTAGAGAACCACGAAAGTATTAGGAACACTTCTAACGTAAGATAAGATACATGCAAGAATACTAAAAGGCACGGGATTAGAATTGATATTCAGTTCAAAAATTTTCACTCAATATTTTCTGGCACGAGCTTTTCCAGAATTGAAGCAAGAAATGACAATTTTCGATCGAATTCGATATCTGTTGGTAGTGGAGCAAATTTTTGATAGTTCTCATATTTGGTTGCTTATAAATTTCTGTAATCATCCAAACGAGTTTTAGTACAAGTACTCCCAAGAAGATGGATCTGAAGCCAAACCTTTTGTCAAAATTAACCTTTTGTCAAAATGCAGCTGACCATAAACCTAGCTGTTTCCCAACGATACAGTTTTGGCTCAATTAAGATAACCATGTATCCATTTGAAAAAAAACTTAATAAGTGAGAGTTGGCGGAAATGGATAAGTATTCTGCATCCTAATTCAAAGCACATATTAATTTGAACGTTTCTTGGTTTCTTTCATCTCACGTCAATTTGTTTTTAAACGTTATGTTAGTTCACTACTCCACACATACCTCAATTAATTATTACAGTTTGGACCCACCCATCTCAGCAGCCTCGGTTAGGTCCCGCAGGTAGGGCCTCAAGTCGACCCAGAGAAAAAAGCCTGCAACACTTGGCCGGACAGCGACGCCCTCCTTTGCCAGCACTGACACGGTGTCGACGTAGCGCTGTTTTAGGCGTGCTCGTGCCAGAGGGAAGAAAGAGTCGATCCACGCTGTCAAGGATCACTACCATTATACATCATCAAATAGTTCCATTGCCTGAGAAACCGCCACTGTGTCAGGTACTGTGATGTCGACAAATTTTACTTGAGACGATATGCGAGTTGTAGCACTCACTACCTGGAAAAGTTCAGTACCTGCATCACTAAGAAGCGTGGCAGCGGCGTCCTGAACGATGCTGGGCACCGCCTGATAGATCCCTGTAACGTTCAGGCAGTCCAGCACTGCAGGATCGCGGGTGTGGATTACGCCAATACGGAATCCTGCCAATCCCAAATCCTTAAAATAAAATTTTGAGAGATTAATTTTGCAAAATCGTACTAGGAAACACAAAACTTTCTTTCACGAATCTTGTACTTAAAATTTGCTAAATTGTAGCTTAGGAAAGATTTCACGGATGGCTCAATGCCCATCAAGGGATGTTCTTAACAAGGCTCTAGGAGGGCTACGCTAGTCACACCAGTTATGATCTAACCTTGGCCATGCCCCAGACGAAGTGTGTGCGCTGTGGATCAGGAAGGTCGTCGTAGCTGAGCACGCTGCGAAACTGACATCTCTCGCTCCCTTTATCGGTCTCCTCCGTCGCTCCCCCATGCACCGACAGCGCGTACACCTCATCCACGATCACGTGCATCTTGTGTCTGAATGGCACACGAGACGGGTCAACCGTATTAGTGGACGGCCGAAATTTCCATGTTTAAGACGCTTAATGCAGTGTAGAGTTCGATCTAGTGCACTAAGAGAACCGGTCGGTTGCGAGCTCAGAATAGCCATTTAATGAATCAGTCCTCTCTTGGTGTTATAACCCTCGCTTGCTACTGAACCTATTTATGGCTACTGAACCTATGAACCTATGGTCTCCACGGTTCAAAAAATATGAATTTTTCTTCTCAACGCCTACCTAATCGTCCAACTCTCGCTAATAGCTCGGAAACGGCGGTTGCTCTGATGAATCTTAGCATTGTCACAATTCTCGCCGCCTAAATGGCATTGTCACAATTCTCGCCGCCGAAATAAATTCTAAATTCTCGCCGGTTAAATCCATTCCTTGCAGTGGGACCCTGCCGAGTGCTATTCGCCGTTTGGTCTGCGGTGCGGATTTCGGTTAATTTTTAATCCAGAGGGGCGAAGTCCAGAGTGGTGGGTTTCAATAGTCGTTACTACATGAACAAAGCGTTGGTAAAGCTGACTTTAGTTTATTAGACGTAGCTTATGTAAAGTTGTGAAGAGCCGAGTGATGTCACGCCCGAGTGATGTCACGCACCGAGTGAAGAGCCGAGCGATGCCACCTCTGTTTCAATTCTGTCGAGAGTATCATTGAAACTTTCCGGCGGGCAGTCGGCGGTCGGTACACGATAGCTATACACAGTTGGAGATGGGAAATGTGTAGCGTAACATGTTCCAGTGTTTTTACCGCAAGGGAGTTTCTGAGGTAGACTACAACCCCTCATTTTTTCCCCCTGCCCTTCGGTCTCCCTCGGCATTATTGAAAGCCTTCCGCTTCGAATTCTCCATCCTGGATATCCTCTCTTAGATGTGACTCGGTCAATGCAAGCCTGATCATTCCTTCTGTTTCAGCAATTCCTCTAAGTACGCCGATCTCATCCATATCGACTCATCCAGATTGCACAATGCACAGCTACGGACAGTTTTGACTTACAGGTTAACCAGAGCATGCGCTAAGAGACACCCTATTACCCGACGTCTCAATGATTCCAATCTTAACCCTCTGTCGCCGTATGTCACTCTCCGGGAACATGACTTTCAACTTAAATTATAGGCAAACTATTGAGTGTAGCAACATGAGGACGTTTGTATGCAAAAGAGAACATTTTAAAGTAGTATGTGGCAGCAGCCATCCTTGCAAATCATTTTGCGCTCACTAGAACGTATCCTCTTGGGGAAGTAGGCTAGTGACAATATTGCTCCGGTTACTCGCGTCAGGTGGTAGAGGGTTAAACTGTGTAACAACCCGGAGTCCTTGCAGTTTGTAGACTGATTTTGCATAGAAAATTATTTTCTATAATGCTTAGCCAAAGTATTGAGGCGCTTGCAAGAAGAAATATATTTAAAATACAATTTTTGAGTCCTAAATTCATTGCATCCAAGTTGAAGGGTGCTTCTTTGCACTTAAACATTGAACAGTCTTGAATAAATCGAATAACTGTATTGTTAACATCCATTCTATGACAGAGAAACTGTAACAATGAGAAATAGGCTTGAACACAAGTACATCGGGCGCGTTCAGACGCTGCTCGAGTTCCTTCTTCATCATGCTGTTCACGGATGCTCCGAGGTTCACCATTCCCTAGTAAGAAATCACAAAAGCATATTTATGATTCGTTTTGTTTTTTGTTGGTACAAAAATTTCCTCAGATTCTTTTTTTTTTGTTCCACCAAATCGAAAAAGAGGATTTATCCTCGTATATAGTTTATCTGCATATTTTATTTACATGTTTACATTATTAAATGTAGTTTAAGTGAACGTAATCATTATTAATTAAAAATGTAAATTTAAAATTTAATGCTATTTTTATCAACGGGGTACAAGGTGCCTACATAAAGGTGCACACTGGAGTGTACAGGGAGCGCCAGAGCAACTTATTTTACATTTTAATGCGCCAGATATTTGTTCAATATTTGTTCCCACCACTAACAGTCACGATAATGCAGTGAACGAGAAAGCGTCGTTCGCTTGCCGCCGAAGCATACTCGTGCATTGATAATTGCCTTTGTAATCATAATCTATTGACTATTGTCGGCGTCCAAGGTGACACTCACGGCCTGATCCTCATGATGCAGCCTAACAGTCGCAGCTTTGATACCCTGCCAGAATTAGGTTCATTCATGGATTAGCGCATTCCAGGATACTGGCAGTGTTGTATATTACTGATTGGTAGCTGTGAGCACCACCAGGCTTCCAGATGTTTTTCAAGTTATGCAGTCATTTTTGCCCTGCCGTTCTGTTCGCAATCGTTCGGCTGCTCTGGGGATTTCCGACACAACGTTGCGACGAAGCCGTTGCAGCGAACTCCAGATTACTCCGTATTAACTGGATGTTGCTCAGAAGTTGACCACAAGATTGCGTGACCCATAAACTGCGTTTGTAGCTCCACTGGAAACGCTTCCTCATGACGACGCGGTAACATTCTTCAGAGACGATGCCCATTTTCAATTTTCCAGCTGTGTCAACAAACGCCCTTTAGAGTGATTAAGTTCCACGTCACCTTCACTAAAGCCCTCTCCACTATGAGCGTGTTTACGGTTGGTGCTCAATTTGATCGTTGCGTATTATGCTTATTTTTTTAAGAAAAAACGAGTTTACTAATGGTGATGCTATTCATTACTGGGAGACTTAAAAAAATATTCCTAGAACATAAGGATGGAACGGACGTTGGAAAAGTGTGGTTTCATCTAGATGGAACCACGGTGCATTTCGTTTTGTTTTGTTCTTTTTGCTCTTTTAAATTCATTTGCTTATTCTGTTGGGAAATTGGACTTTAATGGAATACTTAGATTTAAAATGATAATTTCATTCATATAATCTTACTCTAAGTACCTACGACCAATGACGATTGGTTGTAGTGCTCATTTTGGTTCAGCAGCCTTAATTTTGGTTGCAAGTTAATCAGAAATTTGATTTTCAGTAACCTCAGGGTTACACGGAGCAGCAACACTAGCTTTAGTCGGTATTTCGTGTGGCAGACCGACTCACCGTGGGGTTGGTGACTGCGTGGTAAGGGTTGTCGATGCAGTAGGTGAGGTGTCGCGTCAGAAGGTCTGCCTTCTGCCCCATCATCCAGCCTCTGTGAGACGCAACGTGAGTTTGAGTTATGGCATCATGAGGCAATTTTTTAATTTCTTCTTTCAGTAGTTCTTGCTTGAGCAGATCCATTTTCTGTCGCTCTTCTGTCAGCAAACGCCTCTGCATGTCTTCTTTTTGCAGGGCTATTTTAAGCAGGTCCTTCTTTTGCAGATCATCAATTTGCAGTTCCGGGTTCTGAAAATCGTTATTGTTAAGTAACCTTTCCTCCTTCGGGTCATTCTTATGGACATCTCCCTTATGCGGGCACTCGTTCTGTTGATATTTATTCTGCAAATCATCTAGCTGCAAGTTCTCCTCCATCGTGTGCTCTTTAAGCTGGTTTTTGATCTTCAGGCAATCATTTTGTACGTCTGCCTTCTGCTGGTCCTCCTGAACGTCCGTTTTCTGCCGTTCCTCCTTCGGCAGGCTTTTTTCCGGTTGCTCTTCATTCAGCGCGTTTTTCCCATGCAGAGTATTTTTCTGCTGATGATCCTTTTGTAGACCCTCTTCATGTAGGCCAACTTTCTGTAGGTCTAGCAACTGGAGGTCCTCGTTCTGTAATCCATCTTCTTGCAGACCCACCTTTCGCGGCTCGGCCATCACAGAGCATACGATCTGCACAAATAATTTAGAAAATTTTCGAGTGCGTTCGACGACACCTTTGTCGTGGCACACACGCTACCGGCGATACCACCTGACAACTACTACATAAATGCCTCTTCTATCGCACAGTTACTTATAGTACGCGAAGGCTAAAAATGGCTGATAACCGGAGACCGTAAATTGAACAACTTGAACATATGACTGCGGATATTAGACTTACTGGTGTGTCATTTTCTTTCGACCCCTGACGAATTTAAAATCCTACCCGATAATAAGTATTTAAACAAAAACAATTTGCCTAGTTCATTAGAAGCATGGTGATTAATTTAGAGAAAAAAATTTGAAATAAGTCGAAAAGAATACATATAAGAAAAGTACAGACTCAATTTCGCAATAAGTTCTAACTAGGTATGGCGATAATAACACCTTTACTTTCAAATGTTCGCATGTTAAATGTGATCGTAAATTCACCTTTTTCATTTACGAGTATTGTGATCAGGTTTAATTACAATGGGGTTCGGGTCTCAAAAAATGTTCGCGATACCGGAGAGCCATTCGAAGCAAAACCGGATGAAGTTTTACAACAATTAATATGTCTTATAAATCGATTCTCGACGTTACGATCATGCTAGAAATTTTTATCATATCAAAACATGTGATGATTGCATGACCTGCATGTGACCATGCCAGAACTGCATCATCTGCAGTGTCGAGCTTATTGAGTCTTTTTTATTTCCATTAACTTTAGACTAGAGACAAATTTTACTACATGATTTTCACAATCTTTTACAATGATAAAGACGTTTAACGTTAGAATTACTATGCTCAATTCGATATTTATCCAGTGTTGGTTATCATTGTAAACGCGTGATACTAGTTTTAAGGTTAATCAAAATGTGTAATTTTAGGATGAATGAGCATTCAAGTGGTGTATACCATATCCATTCTTGATGTAGCTTTTATTATTACTTTCATTAAAAGTCGCTAGTGCTTCCATCAAGATTCCTGCATAGCGCCCAAAAAGTACAAGAATCGGCAACAGGCCATGGGTCTATTTCTTCAGTGCCTACATTTATATTCCATTCTATTCTAAGAGTCAGTGTCCCTTGAACAGTTACCGCCACGCATTTCTCTTCTTAGCTTTCGGATGAAAAACCTATCGTCAATGCCATTCGTGAATTAAGGCCTAGTGAGTAGAAACTAGAAGAACCCGATTTATAACTGGCGAGGATGGTCCAAGAACATTAATTGATTAATCCTACTTGTGAAAGCTTCCTTCATAAAGTAGAAGTACAACATTAAAAAGTTTAACTAAAAGCATAAATAAATAAAAAAGAGTTTGAAAATGGAGTTTTGACCATTATGTTCTAATTTCAGTTAAGAGTGTGAATTAATAAACAACAAATATGTTATAACAGAGAAATACACTCTAAAAATCACACTCAATCGTTTGCTGAACTGCCACAGTCAGTCAGTTCCAAAACTCCCAAAACTCTTTAATGGACGCTGCTGAAAAATTAGTCAGAACTTGTCAAGTACTTTATCGTTAGATTGCTTACTTGCTCCCAGACGAATTATAATAAGATTTTATTTAGCTTGAGAAGCAGCGAGCTGTCCCATCAAATGTACATCCAACTCCATCACAAGACAAAATTCAGATTATTAATCATACGGATTATGATAACGATATAAGGATTTTGACAAGGATAAGCTTCTGACACTGTGAATGAACAATCAGTTGCCGGAAGTTGACACATCGAAAGCTGGCCAAGAATCACGACATTTCTGATGAGGGTTCCATAACAGCTGCCACTGAATCAAATACAAATGATTGCACGTCTATTCTCGCCTTATCCTCAATCATTCTAGGAAGCAGTTCATAATAAAAAATTCAGCTCCCCACCTCATATTGCAAGAAAGGCGGACTATAGCATGGCAACCCTCACTACATAACATAACATAACATAGCGATGTCGGCGCTGAAGAGTAGGCCAGTGTGGCCTGTCGCCGATTCTTGTACTTTTCGTGCCTTGTTCACAGAAGATCTAAAATCGTGTCATTTGACCGGATCTTTTCAGGACTGACGATAGTTTGAAATAGCTACTAGACTTCCACCGAGTTCGATATGGTGCTAGGCATTTCAAATCTGAACATATATTTTTCCATAGCTTTATCTAGTCTGTTCTTGAACGCGTTTACTCGGACAACATAGATACGGAACTAATCTAGACTAGATACGTAATTAATCAGTAATTAAATTATATTAGTTAGTGAGCTAAAATTATTTCCGTAAAGTGAAGTCCCAAACCTGAATTCCGAGAATTTTTCCCAATTTCCAAAAAACTATATTTACGGGATGCAAATACATACGCTATCAACGTAATTGAACAGCAGTGTTAAATGAAGATCACCTTTCAAAATACGTTCTAGATTAAATCAACGAATATTGAACAATTATATGATGAAAACGTCGTCAATGTACAATACATGCGGTCACCTCATGAGGCTGTCTCTGGTCTCCTCAGGAGTGGCCGGTGTTCGCGGGTTGGTTATCTTGGAGGCGCTCCAGCGGCGGTGCATTGCAGCCTGCGCCAACGCGCCGCTGTTTCCAGAAGCGTGCCGCTCATCCGATGTCGAGCGAGAGAATAGCTTGCTGCGCTGTTCGTCCAGGCTTATGTCATCAGGGCCCTGGAAATTCCAATAGTATTCAATCTACAGCAGGATTAGTTAGAGAATATTCATTGTAGCAATAAAGGTACGGAGATGTCTAACTACTAACAAAGGTGTCTAACTGCCAACAGAGATGTCTAACTACTAACAAAGGTGTCTAACTACTAACAAAGATGTCTAANCTATCGCCAGTCATGAAAAGATCCGGTCAAATGACACGAGTTTAGATCTATGAACAAGGCACGAAATGGAAAAGAATCGGCGACAGGCCACATCAGGCCTACACTTCAGAGCCGACATCACTATGTTATGTTATGTTATGTTATCAGTTTAAATTTGTTCTCCCGCAAGGGACGTTCGTTCGACATTCAATGAGCTTCAGATTTTATGTGTTCCTTACAGGTCAAAGCCGTATGACTGTTATCGTCGTGTGTTTTTGTAAACTAACTTCATATGAATCAATAAATCTTTAATTTAAAACTGTTATTGTTTGCATTAACCCCATGAATAATATACTGAATCAATTTCTACCAGAATACATATTCTCTAAATTCATTATCATTAAAATTGTCAATTCTTTAAGCTTCATTTACCTGAATAGAAACACTCTAAATTTTTTCTATAATTAAGTTTTGGAATGCGTATTACAATTCGGATGGAAGTATAACATGTGGCTAACTAAACTTAAATATTTGGTGACGACTTTTGGCTCTTAAATATAATAACTATTTTGCAAGGGCGTTTGGGTAAAATAAGTAAAAAGATAATATTGAAATGGCTGAATTCTTTAACTTGATTACAATATTTAACTACAATTTTGGATGGAACTGACAAGAATTTGTACATTCTTAAACTTGTGGACATTTTGAACGCTTGCGGTTTGTGACAATTAATGAGCAGTGGCTGATCTTCGGTGGCTTGTTGACAGCTTCGTACCCCCATCTTTCTCAGAAGGAAGCGCAATACGCACTGTCCGAATGTGACCGCACATTGAAGGTGAATGCGAATAGACAATATAGCCATGGTTCATATCTATATGTACATATGTCCGGGATGTTTTGTATGTGGCGGGAGACTTATTTACATTACAACGAATAATAAAAATATAATAAAATCAAATCAAAACCGCGGTACGGAATGGAGCTAATTCTGTCGGTTGAGCAGATACAGCGCGTGAAATTTGATATGAGAGCAAAATTTATTTATCACAAAATAACGCGTAACCTAAAACAATTATTTTTTTCTTCACCAGCATAGAGCTTGGTTAGCAAACGTCAAGACTGCGTCACTGGTTGGAATAGTCACAAGCCACACCGTGGAGTATCGAAATGTATTAAATTTGATGCTTGGAAGAGGAATTTTTAGGAGTATTGTTTTCCAAGCAAACACAAGTGCAAGTCAATCATCCCGGTACTTGCACTAATACTATGTCGCTCAATGTGTTGCTGCTCATTGACTTTCTCTTCAAACGAATGCTTTACCTGGAACTGGGCTTTTTAAATTAATAAATTCCGTTATTCAAATAAAATTTGGTTCTTCTTTCTACAGGCAACGCGAACAATTTGTAACATGTTTTTTTCCATTCATAAATTTAATATTCCCAAATTTTCAGGAAAGTTGTTTAAGAAACGCGTGCAAAGTTTATTATAAACTGGAAAATTTTCTATGCACGCTGTGCAGTTCTGCGTTGACTATTAAATTAAAATAGGCACTCGATCGGATCAGTCAGCAACTCACGTGTTAAATGGTCACCAAATGCCATCATGCGGCGGACGAAGACCGAATAAAGACTTGAAATACCTAGCTCATTATCGAACCCGGTGGAAGTCTAGTAGCTACTTCAAACTATCGTCAGTCATGAAAAGATCCGGTCAAATGAAACGATTTTAGATCTTCTGTGAACAAGGCACGAAAAGAAAAAGAATCGGCGACAGGCCACATCAGGCCTACACTTCAGCGCCGAGATTAATATGTTATGAAACAACGAAACGTTTCACCAAAACGGAACGCTGACACTATATGTAGTTCCAACAAATAGCGATCATAGCCACATCTTCATCTCCTACTGGGTTGCAAATGCTCTGCTCATGAATGCATGGTGCAGGAACTGTCAAACGTCGGTTCGAGAAGGAAATACGCCTCCACAAGCCGACCCTGAAGATTTCTTTCTGTTTTTCCTAGTGTATTTAATAAAAAATATAACTTTATTTGGTTCAACAATTTCGAAAAATCTAATTACATTTTTATTCGGATTTTAGAAGTGCTTAAATATGTACTTGAAAGAATTCAAATTATGAGTGCTTGGTGTTGCTGCCGCTTGATAGGTAAAATTAAAAATTCAGCTAATAAGAGGGTTTTATTTGAAAATAGACTCACAATTGGTATTTTTAAACACGGGGAAATACACGATGATACAAGAGGAGCAACAAAAAATTAACTATGGTAATTGTTTGCGCTATGTTCCAGTTAGGGATTGATCACGCCTGCTCTTCAAGATCTGTGCGTTAGACACGTGAAATGCATTGGCTAAGTTGGCATAGGAATTTAGTTCATCAAAAGTCATCAGCAAAAAAAAAGACATTGAAGATCTTGTGGCGCATCCTTAATACATTTTTAACACGGATATATAATTAATCGATTAGCGCTGAGCGTGAAATTCATCACTATATATCAGCAAAATGAGAGGCCTACAGTGTTGAATTCAACGCTCAAATAAGCGTCATCCAACAGCATCTGGATCTTGGGACAGCGATGAGCGAGGAAACATAACGAGTTGAAGAGATCAACTCTGACAAGAAGAAAACCATCTTCGAAATACTGAACGACATTGCTTAGATAATTACTGTCCGCTGATCTAACGATTTTGTGTCCAAATATTTTGTATGCAACAAAAGCGCTCCTTCGCATCAATAGGTCACGCAAGAATATTATTGTAATTTCTTGAATGAAATATAAAAAAGAGTTTGCAGCTCAAAATTGCCCATTGTTAACTAGGTTCGAGCACACAGGGTGCAATACTCGCGGTGTCTCTGTGGTAAATATCACGATAGAAAAACCCACAGACTAAGATAATTGAGTTATCATTTTTTTCTGGAACGATAAGGACACAAAACAGTTCACATGCATGTCAAGTATAATTAAGCTGTTTCATTCATATTGTTCTATTCGTACGTAATGCTGTCATTTGTCTTGAAGCTCAGAAATTCATGCACAATATTAACGTGCTGAAGCTGCAACCCGGGAAAATGATGATATTTTTGGCCCACAACAAAATAGTAACCCAAATTATGGGCGACACTAAGTCTGATATTATATAAAAAATTAATATTCAATATGCATTCAAACTTTTACAAATGCGTGTGAAAAATTGTAATAGATCAATTGATTACCAAAATAGAAAGACAGAAAAGTGTGATAAAATGCAATATCTTCTGCATTACAAAAAAAAATCTGACGATTGCATCAATGAATCTGAGAGCTGATTTACAGAACAACTCAATATTACGTACACCAGCAAGCACAGCCTACGACCTTATAAGTAAGGGTACGCACACAGTGAAAGCTGGTTTGCCCGCGCGGGCAACCTGCTCCAACCTGCCACAAGAATGAACATAGGATAATAATGTAAGTGTTCATCGTGAAAACCTGTACGAATAGGCTTCTGTATTCTATGGTTTCAGGCGCCAGCCTGAGCAGGTAACCAGCACGCTGGCAACCTGCTTTCACTGTGTGCCTACCCTAAGGCGAAACCTAATGAATGTATTCTTATCGAAGCACACTTAGGTTAATGTAAAGATTGTAATTTTTGCAACGAGCCCTTGTTTAGGCCGTACTACTAAAAAATATCATTTCATAGGTAATGATTGAAATTGGTAAGTGAGATCGAATGCTTATGTCATTTGTAACAATACATTCAGTAACCATTTAAGACTTTTACAAACGAATTCAGTGTATTACAGACGATAAAACTAAATTCATAATCAAAATAGAAGTGTTAGCCATCCTGGGGTCTTAATGAGATTCTACCGTAGAGTTGAGTACCTCACGAGTGTGTCGGTGGCGCACTCGCACGCCCCTGCCTATGCCTGCATGCCCCTGCCTATGCCAGCATGCCCCCTGCCTATGCCTGCATGCCCCTGCCTATGCCTCATGCCCCTGCCTATTCTTGCATGCCCCTGCCTATTCTTGCATGCCCCTGCCTATTCTTGCATGCCCCTGCCTATTCTTGCATGCCCCTGCCTATGCTTGCATGCTACACGATCTACGCTGTGTTCAAGGCCTGCTTATGTTCAGGTGTGAACTGACAGCAATGCAGCGTGCGTACAAAGCTTCCGAGCATCGAGATCTCAGGGAAAGTTACTATAACCTACATAATTATGGCACTTGAACATGTCGGGATGGACGTGTGGCTGAAGTTAAAAAAAACAATCGCGGAATCTTGAATGGAGCAATCCACCATCATTTCTTTAAAGATAAGGTGGAATTTTAAAAATAAAATAAAAATAAAAAAATTATCACACGAATCAGTTATGAATTCCAAGATTGTTAAGCTATTGTTCATTACGAGCACATTGTAGAAATACAGTTTATACACAGATCGCCTTAGCCAGACCGAGCACTCACAGCGAGATATGTTAACAGTTACGAATACTACAATAAACTAGATAGAATAACCTACTACGTATAAAAAGTAAAAATAGTTTACTTCTACTATTCACGATTTCAAATCAAAGAAGCACCATGTACAACACTAGGTTAACAAACAAAACGAACTTCATTGAACAGTTATCATACAAACTGATTTCTGAAGTAAACTTGAGGAGCACACGGACTTTCAATGAAGCCAAAGGCCTCAGAACGTCCTCGGTATTGATACAATGATCAGTTGTGCCAAACGAAAATATTTCGCTCAAGATTATACATCTGAAATGATCTCAACCACAATAGAATAGCTAAAAACCTGTTGCAACAATGTGGTGGACATTGTTAATAAATGCAATTCGAATAAATTTAAATCTCTAGAAAAATGTGCGAATTTGTTCCAGGAAGTATTATCGCGAATTTTATAACTTTACAATGTTTAACTTTTAGCTTGGCAGCTCGAGCTTGCCTCTTACAGAGCACTCAGTGCAACAGCGCCAGAGATGGAGGAACACACTTAATGGGGTGAGCGGCATCTTAAGTTTATCAATGCTGTTACGGCTTGTTAAAACAGTTAGTTCTGCTATACACTTGGAAGATTTGCAGTAATTTATGACATTATTTCGATTACATCCAAACCTATACAATATATAATATGCATTACAAAAAGTATTAGATGTTCTTTGAATAACATTCTGAGAGATTATATTGAGTGAAAAATCGTTCACATGTATTTAGATCATATCACGAGCATCAATACTCTCTGAAATACTTTTTCGTTATTATAAGATCGGAGTGGATTTCATTATGAAAAACAATAATATAGATTTTCATTGTTCGTTTATATACGAGTCCCGTACAACAAGTAATTAAAATTTTAAATAAATACTCTTCGCGGTAATCTGATAACATATGAACATTTTGCCCGCAACCAGAATTGCTTCACATTCATCATTCAACAACAGGTCTGAGGCTGCTGAGCCCCGGTCGGGCAATGTCGCACGGCAGGCCCCTCGAACTCCTCGACTTGGACGATCTGTTCGATGGCCTCTCGGTCGGTTCAGGCGATTCGAAGCCCATCCAAAATTGATTCGCCTCAGAGTCTGGACTAAGGTCCCCGCTCCGCATTTTTTCATTACCGTAACCAGGAAAACATTCATCCATTATGCCTTGGAGATGCAAGTCCTCTGCCGTCATACGTTGAGTCACTGCGACCAATGCAGGAGAAGGCGATCTGTCAGTAGGCAGCGAATAAGTTTTTCTTGGTCTCGTTACTGTGTAAACGTTGCCGAGAAACACGTATTGTTCCTTGAAGTTCTCTCTGGGCTGGTCACAAGAACTGTTGTCGTCGCTGAGAGATTCTTGCATGTCACAGGGTTCGGAGAGTAGTCTTTCTCGCTGGTCTTCGTCTAATTCAGCCGACGCCGAGTCTGGAGATCTGTTGCTTGGTGACCGTTCCCTCCTGAAGGAAATACAATCGGGGATCAGTTTGTGGGATCAAAGAAAGCAGCATAAAAAAAATCAAACGCTATAAGAGAAAAAGTAGAGCTCTGCAATCAAGCAAATTGTAATCTTATGCAATTTGAAGCGACTGTCAGGTAACCATGAATAAAATTTTACTTTTAAAAGCACTTCGCGTTAGAGTGCAACGCTTAGAAAACATAGACCGAGCTAATTAACAATAGGTATTTATAATAATATTTGATAGAGAACACAAATCTCAAATATATGAACAAGAAATGATAATGAATGAGGCCGTTAGCACCTCAAGCACAAAATTAAATAATTTCAATTCAGAGTTCAGCTTATCGGTGCCGTTGAAATCGAGTTTTTCACGAACAATGCCAAGTGAATCGCAGCGAGATGATAGCACTAGATTGTGGTATGCGAGAAAGTAGATTTAAAAATGAGAAATCGATTCTAACAGGAAAAATAAATCTACGTGATGAATAGCAAGGCATATAAAAATCAGTGAGAAGAAATCAGTGAGAGAAAAACAACGCTCAATAAGAAGCGCGTGCCGGAGGCCAGCTTTTTCCTAGCTTTACGCTTAAGTTCAAAAGTTCATTTTATTTTCCGTGGGTAAGCATGTCACAGGACACAGAATCGTATGAAGTCTAGAGCTTAATTCCATAACGCAGTTTGCCCACGCTCCACAACCACAGCTAAACTTATGGTCATAAAGCCTCTGGTCTAACTTACTTCGGCCAAATCTGGCCTAACCTACTCAGGTTGCAATATTACTCCGCCCAAAATAAACCTAATCTGACCTAACCTAACCTCATTGGCTGCTTGAAGTTAGAGACGCGGGGCAAGTTAGCCGGTAGAGCCTGCCATTGGCTGCAAGAAGGTCGTGAGTCGGGGCCGCGTGAATTTTAGGCCAGTAGAGGCTAGGCTGGAGTAAGAGAGGCAAGACGCGCAAAACTAGCTGCTTATGAGCGAGCATGCTTCTGTATAGGCTGAGCCATACGGCACTATTGTGTTGGTGGTTAGCGTAGTTTGCGGCTTCTAACTGTGAGGCTGATTGTAGTTTTTGCATGTTGATGCTGAGCGTTGCTCCTTAGCTTCTTTAAGAATTAAATTTGTGGATTCTGACTGCACCACCCTCAATACGTTGATTCCGTTACTACTTCACCAATAAATCAACATAAATAGTTAAGAAACGCAAAACAATTAGTAAATGACATTATTATTCATGCAATAATTTAATTTAATGCAATCAAACCAATCACTTTATTCGAAAACAGAATTTCGTACTACATCGCGAGAATAATATAGAGAGAAAAAAAGGTGACCTTTCATAGTTTCGAGAAACTTATAATTTTAAATTACTAAAATTTAATTAGCGACTAATTCAAGGGTAAAAATCAATAAAATATTCCTTATATTCATGAGGAGAGGAATACAAGCTTCACTTTTCAACCTTCTCAAAATCGGTAGCTATAAATTGGGCTTTTTAATGCCAAAATTTGAATAGCACAGTGGGCAAAATTGGTCACTCCATCAAGCCAGTTAAAATTAAACACACTTATGAAGTGGATTATGACTAATTTTTTGTACGTAATCATATGACCTAACAAGAGCTACAGTTGCTTAAGAATAACCGAGTTCATTTTTAAACAGAATATTTAATATTTCTCTGGCCATAATATTTAATATCTGGTCATCTCAGTGTAAAAAACGTACAGATTGAAGTCTATGAATTAAATTCAAAATAGAACACATATATATCTCAAGTGCGGGAATAACACAAATAACTTGGGTATGCAATCTCCAATGCACGTGGATAAAATAGCAAGTGCATGCGTGCAAAATTTTCACGAAAAGCTTGTGTCAGTGCCCACAAAATGCCTTGAATATAATTATCTGTCCTCGTGCAATAATGCCACAACGCACTTGTTTTAGTACTTGGAAGTGCTCACGTGCAATAAAGCCGCAACTCACTGGTTTTAGTTCTTAGAAGTGCTCACGTGCAATACTGCCACAACGCATTGGTTTTAGTACATGGATGCCACAACGCATTGGTTTTAGTACATGGAAGTGCCCACGTGCAATAGTGGCACAACGCACTGGTTTTAGTACTTGGAAGTGCCCACGTGCAAAAGTGCCACAACGCACTGGTTTTAGTACTTAGAAGTATATCCCTGCGAATAAGTAAAGCCGAGCGGGAAGGTCTACATTTGTCAAGAGCTCGTCTCGCAATTGTCGTCTGCGGCAGAGCGTGGGCGCCCGGCCGGTGCAGACGCTGAGCGCGCCGGCGGCGGCAAGTCCTCCTCCTCCATGTCAGATACTCTGCAGTGTCGTGCTTATTGAGTCTCTTTTATTTCCATTAACTTTAGACTTATAAATAGTAGGCACTTGCTATTTATCCTTGTCTAAACTTGCTATTTACGAGACAAATTTTACTACATGATTTTCACAATCTTTTACAATGACAAAGACGTTTAATGTTAGAAAAACTATCCATGTCAGATACTCTGCAGTGTCGTGCTTATTGAGTCTCTTTTATTTACATTAACTTAAGACTTACGAGACAAATTTTACTACATGATTTTCAATTTTTTCAAATGACAAATACGTTGAATGTTAGAATTACTATGCTAAATTCGATATTTATCCTGTGTTGGTTATCATTGTGAACGCGTGATACCAGTTTTAAGATTAATCGAAATGTATAATTTTAAGATGACTGAACATCCAAGTGGTACATACTATATCGTATTCTGGTAGTAGTGGCTTTTCTTATTATTTTCATTAAAAGTCGCTAGTGCTTCCGTCATGATTCCTGCATATAGCCGCCCCGGAGTCGGTGTCCCTTGAACAGTTACCGCAACGCATTTCTGTTCTTAGCTTTCGGATACAAAACCCATCGTCAGTGCCATTCGTAAATTAAGACCTAGTGAATAGAAACTAGCGAGGACGGTCCAATAACATTAATTGATCCTACAAGAACATCCTATATGTGAAAACTTCCTTCATAAAGTAAAAGTACCATATTAAAAAAGTTCGACTTAAAGCATAAAAAAATTAAAAATAGCGTTTTAACCAATATGTTCCAATTTCAGTTCACAGTGTGAAGTAATAAACAACAAATATGTTACGACATAAAAATACACTCTATAAATAGCACTTGATTGTTTTCTGAACGGCCATAGCCAGTCAGTTCGAAAACTCTATAATGGACGCTGTTGAAATATTAGTCAGAACTTGTCAAGTACCTTAGCGTTAGATTTCTTATTGACTCCCAGAAAAATTATAACAAGATTTTATTTAGCCTGAGAAGCTGCAAGCTGTCTCATTATATATAGGGTAACATGGGGCAGCGAGCCCACTGCGGGTCACGGGCCCATAGCGGGTTTCTCGCTAAGTATGGCAGATATTGGTCCGTGTTCTTTTTAGTTTAAAAAAAGTGGGGGGCGCGCTGCCCCACGTTACCCTACATACAACACCATCGCATGACAAATTTTTGATTATTTATTATGCGGATTAAAATCACGATATAAGAATTTCGACAATAATGAGCTTCTGACACTGTGAATGAACAATCAGTTGCCGGAAGTTAACACATCGAAAGCTGCCAAGAATCACGATATTTCTGATGAGGGTTCCACAACAGCAGCCACTGAATCAAATACAGATGATTGCATGTCCATTCTCGCCTTATCCTCGATCAGTCTATGAAGCAGTTCATAGTACAAAATTCAGCTCTCCAACTCATATTGCGAGTAAGGCGGACGAATTAATTAGTAAGTAAATAATTTAAGTTAGTGAGCTAAAATTATTCCCGTGATATGAGGTCCCAAACTTGAATTCCGAGAATTTTTCCCAATTTCCAAAAAACATATGTACAGTCAAGTCTTCAACGTAATTGAACAGCATGAAGATCACCTTTCAAAATACGTTCTAGATAAAATCAACGAATATTGAACAATTATATGATGAAAACGACGTCAATGTATAATGCATGCGGTCACCTCATGAGGCTGTCTCTGGTCTCCTCAGGAGTGGCCGGCGTTCGCGGGTTGGTTATCTTGGAGGCGCTCCAGCGGCGGTGCATTGCAGCCTGCGCCAACGCGCCGCTGTTACCAGAAGCGTGTCGCTCATCCGATGTCGAGCGAGAGAATAGCTTGCTGCGCTGTTCGTCCAGGCTTATGTCATCAGGGCCCTGGAAATTCAAATAGTATTCAATCTACAGTAGGATTAGATCGAGAATATTCCTTGTAGCAACGGTACGAAGATGTCTAACTACTATCAAAGGTGTCTAAGAACTTAGTTTAGAGTATTCATCGTAGCAAAGGTACGGAGGTGTCTAACAACTAACAAAGGTGTCAAACAACTTAGTTTAGAATATTCATAGTAGCAAAGGCTCAGTTTGATAAATATTTCAGTAGCCGTAATTTATAGCCCGCTTTGAGCAACTCTGCCCCCCGGATCCAGACCGCGGCCCGCCTGCTAACCCTCGATATTGAGTAACACGATATCACAACATATCAGTTTGGACATCGAGCGAGAGAAGATTTTAATTAAGACTTGTAGCGGCTTGTTTCTCTTAGCGATTGAATGACGACAGAATCGTGTACACTATTTGGCGTGTGTTATAACTCGTCCTGGGTTAAAAAAATTGTTAGTGAAACTGTAATGAATGATTATTATTTGCTATACGTTAATAATATTTTACATCGTCTATTCATTCAATTCAGAGGAGTTGGAAAAGAAATATTTCAAATTTCATCTCATTTTGGAAAAATTTGCATGAAGGGGCCTTTCAATAAATTCAAATTAACAATCAAGCAAATCAAGCAAATTCAATATAACAATCAAAGAGCCAAAGAAGGGCCTTATAACTCGAAAAAATCAAATGAAGAAATTGCAGCGGAAGCTTGTGATGGACATGTTTGTTTATTCTGAACAAATAAGAGCGTCAGAGTTGAGGGCATATGATCTTCCACGACGCAACTGTTCGGCTCGTAAATCGCGTAGATGAGAGCTGCCAAACTAAATGGTCTCGAAGTGTCGCTCGCTATATTGAAGCGCGCAAGATGAACCCAAAGCTAACGCATCCTTGTTTCTTCTCTAAACAGCGTGCAGCATGAGTAGCGTTGCCAGCTACCCGGATAAAAATGACTACAAGTCCCAGTCTCAGTTGCTCTTGGTCGGAGTAACCATGAGCTCTACAGTCTACAATGGTTATAATTTTGATTCAGCGTTGGAAATTTTAACGATCGCAATTTGGAGTTGGCGATTGAATAGTAGATTAACTTAAGGATAATTACTCTTACTGACGTATTTGTTTTGTCTATGAAATAAAAAAAATTAGACCGTGGAAAGATCTAAGTTTTGCATAAGTACGGATAAAGTAAAAATGATCCTTTTTTCCATTAAAATACTCTATTTGTTTGAAAACTATATTGGGAAGGAAAATTAACGCATCAGATACGTAATATGTCATTACATTGAAGGAACTATTACTCACGTTTTCGATTCTCTCGTCCAACATTCTGAAGAAATCAATTTGACTGTCCGATATTTTCCTGCAAAAAAAAATTATTAAAATGAACAAAAAACAAAATTGAAGAAACATAAAATACAATGAAAAAAATATTGCAGTTCACCGTCAACTTTATTTACTGTTTGATGCTCATTCAGTTTCCCATTTGGGTAAAAACCCACGCATTTTACTACTGGAATCCGGGCACAAAACCGGAATTCTTTCAAGATAGAAAACGAAGTTAGTTAGTTAAAAAAATAGAGGTATTTCATTTACACGGAGAGAGGAGAGCAGTCTTTGTCGAGAGATACTCAAAGAGCGAGGATATCTTGTCAGCGAAAGTAGTGCACTTCATTCGCCGCATGTCGAGGCGAGAAGCACAACGGTTCAAAGTGGACTTTGGAAGTCGAAGAAATTCTCAAAAAACTTGGCAATTTGAAAAAAATTTAACTCAGTACTCACTGCAGTGAGTGACAGAGAGCGCATTTTCTCGTCACGAAAACTTGAGGTCACGGACGGACGGACGGACGGACGGACAGACAGACAGACAGACAGACGGACATGGCGAGCACAATAGTGCATTTTTTCCATAAATGAGAAAATGCGCTATAAATGGGAACATATTGCTTTTGAGCTCATGACAAGACATGTAGGATATTTTTAAAGTAAATTTTATTCGGCCGTGAAGAAATGCCGTATGATTTAATAAGAATTTGATGCTGAACGAATATTTTCAAGAAGCGAACCTAGAAATTCACTCTGTTATAGACAAGAAGTACTTGGCAAAATATTTGTATTCGAGCATATATTTTCAAGTAATATATAATATCGATATAAAATACACAAAAGGAGTGCAATAATTTCAAGAATTAAAGGTGCAACAAGAAAACTGTATAATAGGGCAGGTATCTATGATACTGACGCGGCTAGTGCAGTGATAGAAATACCTTATTTTCATCATTATTACAACCACAGCGTTAGGGCAAGTATCTATGATACTGTCGCGGCTGGTGCAGTGATGGAAATACCTTATTTTCACCATTATTACAACCACAGCGTTAGGGCAAGTATCTTTGATACTGAAGCGGCTGGTGCAGTGACGGAAATACCTTATTTTCACCATTATTACAACCACAGCGTTAGGACAAGTATCTTTGATACTGACGCGGCTGGTGCAGTGATAGAAATACCTTATTTTTATCATTATTACAACTACAGCGTTAGAGCAGGTATCTATGATACTGACGCGGCTGGTGCAGTGATAGAAATACCTTATTTTCATCATTATTACAACCACAGCGTCAGGGCAGGTATCTAGGAGACTGACGCGGCTGGTGCAGTGATGGGAATACCTTATTTTCACCATCATTACAACCACAGCGTTAGAGCAAGTATCTATGCTACTCACGCGGCTGGTGCAGTGATGGAAATACTTTATTTTCACCATCTAATTTCAAGAATTAAAGGTGCAACAAGAAAACTGTATAAGGATTCAATCTTGCGAAGTCAATGAATTTTCTCGTAGCTTATGCTGAGATCGAAAATGTTGTTATCGGTAAAATAATGAAAAAAAATAATTTTAATGGAGCTACTTTAACAAAAACATGATAGAAGTGATATCTTAAACTATCGATTCTAAGTCCCACTCTGTTTACACTCTAATATCAATCACTAATTGCTGTCATTAAAATTCATCAAATAAGCCCTGACGCGGCTTAATCCCAGTGATGGGATTAAGTTCTTGTCACCATTTCTGCCACCACGACGCTAGGTTAATTATCTAGGAGGGAACGCAGCTCTACGACAGGCGTCCTATATAGAAGACCAAGGCGGCTGGAGCAGTGATGGAAATACCTTATTTTCACTATCATTACAACCACAGCGTTAGGGCAAGTATCTATGATACTGACGCGGCTGGTGCAGTGATGGAAATACTTTATTTCCACCATCATTACAACCACAGCGTTAAAGAAAGTATCTATGATACTGACGCCACTGGTGCAGTGAAGGAAATACCTTATTTTCACCATCATTACAACCACAGCGTTAGAGCAAGTATCTATGATACTGACGCAGCTGGTGCAGTGATGGGAAGGTTTTTGTCGGGCGCCGGAGGAACTTTCTGAGGCCGGCCACAGCTGGTGAGCTCCTCCATGAGGCCTACCAGCCCTCGGTTGCAGCTGCCGCTCGCTGCACACACAAGTGCGTTAAAGTCATTGGAAAAACTCTGAGGAAACAGACAAAGTATATAACAAAATAATAATGACAGAAAACGTAAAATTTACATTGTAGATTAGTTGGAGGGAAAAATTTTTAAAGGCGGAAAATGAGTTAAAATAAACAGGAAATGGTGTGGGTTGCTAAAGAATTTAAGAAATTTAAAATTGAAATACTGGAAGCAAGCTTTTAAAAAATTTAGATTAAACAACTAGTAATAGGGAAATATCTAATTTAAATGATACTGTACGTGAAGTTAATAATGTAAAGTAAGTGAATGAATGTAGGAATAGGGATCCCTTAAAAGTTCTTATTCTGTCGAAAGAGGACATTTATTAGTAAATTACCTCAGACTGTATTTATACTGGGCTAAATTTTAAAACACCAATGGAAAATTCCGATAAAATTTATATATGAATTTCAATCAGATACAAACCGAAAAATGACAGTAAGATAATCTGAGGTCAAACGCGGAAAAGGTGCGGATTCAAATAAGCAGCTGGAAACAAAAAAAAAATCGCCTTTTGTAAGTTTTAGGATCGAAATTTGAGTAAAATCGTCGTTTCCAACGCGATACAAGGGTTACAGTTTAGATCAAAACAGAAAATGAACAGCGTCACAAACAAGAGCTTCATTTATTAAGTTACTTTCAGATTGTGAAGCTCGTGAATAGAAACTCAAATCGACAATAACAGTAGAAAGTTTAAATTAGATTACTGAGCACGCGGTCCGTGGTGATCTTGATTATTTTTGTTATTGAGATCATGAAAATAAAGAATTTCGAGAATATTACGAAAATGCGCTTGCTACCGTTAAGGTTTTATAAAAATCATACCATCATAGAGAATATTTTATGATTTTACGATAGAAATATTTCTACCGCAATTCCCTGGTGATTTTATATAAAAAAAATCATTGGTTGAAACAACGAAATTCTTCATGATGTAATTCCGCTAATGGGTTCATGGATCTGCCTCTCGATGAAGTTTCTGATAAATACCATGACAGACGTCACCTTCATGCCGTAAATCGTTTTTATTTAAGAACCGAAATATTTACTATTATTACTGACATAAATGGTTCATTAATCATGGTTAATCGTTGGAGTGAAGAATTGTTCTAACAGCAGAGCTTAGAATAGCAGCATCAATGCGTGGCAGCAGAATCGTGCAGATGAAAAATTTGACTGCGATCATGAATTGAAACTCAAAGGCAAGTAGCAACAATCTAGATAAAAACAGAATATTTTGCAATAATTTAACTGTGTTGTCGAAATTTTTTAGGCGTGCAGCAAGCGTCAGCCTTGTAGCAGGAAAATTCGAGTTCTTAATTAGTCATAATGCAATGGTAATGTCCACAAATTTGAGATCAATCACGCATGGAAGCGCTCAAAGAGACGACCAAATAATCCAAGTCCTACTTCAAACGCGATATTAAAAAACTACCTTGGGAATTAAACTTTTATTAAACTTTATTCTTTTTTAATCATTGTATTGTAACTTTCAAACTATATCAGACTAAAATTAAATTGTTGAAGTGCAAATCAAAACATAGATTAGTATTTTTTATTCTTATAATGGAGAAGAAATCACACCACACAAGTCGTTTTCAAACAAGTCAAGAGATTCTGGTCCAGTTGAACCTCGCAGGGCTGTGTTATTTGTTATGCCATTGACATCACATGGCACAACTTCTTGCATCACGTTTTGTGTCGCAATATCATGAAAAAAAGACATTTATCTGATCCAGTTCATGTCTTTTACCAAGGTTTCTAGAAGAAAGTAACTCTATATCACATAAAAACAGAAGAATACCAGCACATTGCAGCATTTGTTTTGTAAATTCTTCGATCATGTTTAAATCGAGCCATCAAAAAAGAAAAAAGTGGAATGTAGAGAGTAGCGAGAATAAGTAAAACTTTGATGACAGAAAAATATTTCACGTATTTGATCCAGTTTAATGTAAAGTCAAGGTAGAGTGAGCAAGACAAAGCTGCTGATAGTAGCAAAGTAGCATTTTTATTTTAAAATTAATAACAGTTACTAATCCTCGTGCAAGATTGAAAAAAAACATTTGAAACCTATAATGAACAAGGTTATACAAGAAAAATGTGAAAAGAAAAAATAATAATGTAATAAGAAAAATATACAAAAAGCAAT